TTGTTGGAGGAGGAGGAGGAGGAGAGGCAAAAAAGGGGGTTTCAAACCTTTTGGGCTACGGCCCGGAGAAAACCCTCCCCCCTCATTCTTTTCCGGGGGCCAGGGGGGGGGGGGGGGGAGGAGAACGGCATGAGCACTCATCGAGCCTCGGCCAATCGAGACTGTCGGTGGCTGCGTCGATGAGGACGGTGGCTACCAGCCTGCGTGGGCCAGCGTCGGGGGGTCAGGCGGTTAATGGAACGAGTGTAAAAGGCGGTGGCTGGGATGGCGAAAGGAGGCTTCTGCCATGTATTGACTCGGGCGTTGGGTTTGGGAATCTGCCTGCCGGAAGCAATGGCGATGGCGGCGAGGGGAAGGACGGGGCGGGAAAGGCAAGACGGTCTTGTTATTTGCATCTACGCCTTGTTACCAACACATAATAGCGAGCGCCGACGAGGAGGAGAAGTGCACAACTCCCCCGCGCCCTTAATTGTTGTGCGACGGGGTTGTCGTAGAGCTATATCCATGGGCCCTGCTATTATAGCTAAGAATTGTTTCTGCGTGTTTTTTAGAGTAAAATCGTTGCGTTGTAGAAACACTCAAATTTGGCACAACAAATGGAACTGCTCGTGGGTGAACGTTTCCTCAGATTGCCTCGTAGACTGTGACGGAGATCTCCCTGCAGGGTGTTACCACAGGTACTGTAGAGTCAGTGGACTCGATGAACCCGTGTACAAGTAAAGCTCGCCAGCTGCCCCCGTCTCTCACAACCCGTTACAGTACATGCGTTCTTCCTCTCTCACGCGTGGTTGAACCTGGCGTGTCCTCCACACCACACATCCCGAAGGAAGTTGAGCCACAGCGCCAGCCTGGAGACACCCGTCTCATACGCTAGACAAAACACTCATATGTAGGAATGTAAGAAAATGTGTCACATGCCTATTTCGCTCCCAAAGCCTCGAGATAACGTTATTTTTGAGACCATCCCGCCCATCCCACACTCAGCACTCGGTGTTGCGATCATTGGCGGGATATGGGATATGCCCCCCCGGTGCTACAAGAGGGCTCGGCGCCGGCGAGGGAGTATCCATAGGCGAGGACCTCCGCCCGCGGTTGGAGTCCTCACCAAATCCAATACTTCACGTCGAATTCTTTAACTTTATATGCATGCCTCTCTCCCACGTCTCAAGGTGGTACCTCATCACTCACCGCCTGTCACACTTTTGCTCACAACCCTCTCGTCTCCGTCGGTTTTGAAGGGACGAACCGTGGACGTGATAGGCGCAGCAGCACCTACGCCCGCAACCACCCGCCCGGTAAGCAACGCGGTGTATTGTGTTATTTGGAAATGGACCGCTTCAAACTATAGCAGCAGTGTGTGAAGGGCAGGGCAGCATTGGCAGGTCGGGGGTTGACGGGAAAAGTGCTGAGGACGGAGGCTAGGACGGTGGGGGTCGTGGGAATCTGGTCGATGGTAGCAAAGACGATGGCAAGGGGGAGAACGCGGGGGGGCAGGCAAGGCAACCTTGTTTGTCATTTCCAGCCCAAGGAGCTAGAGACAGGGAAAGCATGTTGTTGTTTCGGCTCGCGTACCACAGCCCCGGGCGCCGAGGGTGCTGCCATACCCTGGCAATTTTGAGGGTTGTAATGATTTTCCGGAAAACAAGGAGGTAAATCGCAACTGAACGAACGCTCCTTGTTTCCTCCGCTGGGTGGAAGTTCTCCAATTTACATCGGGATGAGTCATGTGGCCTTTCTTTGTCGATTGTGGCGCAGCAGGCAGATTTACCCTGTTCTCTTTCAGTTTTCCATCATATAAACTGTGGACATCCTCACGACCTACAGCGGTTCAACCTTGTGCAGGAGCGACCCGAAAAACGCCAGAAACGCAGTGGGATCTCTGTGAGCTCGCTGTCGAGCGTCGTCTCCTCCGTAGGCTCCAATGCCTGCTATCATGAGTTCTACAAGCACGGCGGCAGCACTTCACCTTTTGTAAGCCGTCTCCGTATCGGTGTCATCGTCGTCATTGTTTTATACAACCAGTTGATACAAATTCTGCTGTCGAAGCATATATTATCACAAGTCGTTTCGCTTTTTCGTATTTTTTCGAGGGATAGGTTCGTTGTTGTTTTGATCGTCGCTTCGATTGTGCATACATCGCACCACCCTTGTGTATGCGCAGCGCACCCTCTCTTCCGCCATCGTATATTGTGATGCCTCACGGACGTCACTACGGGTGCCGTTGAAATTTATATATCTTTCTCACGAAGAGGCCGGAGTCGGAGGGCCTACTCAAGACCGCGGTGCACGAAGCTTCAGCGCCGGAAAGGTGGCAGTTACTGCTGTATGACACGACAAGCACACGTCCACCATCGGTGCGAGATATCGCTCCGGTCATGAACGGGGACTGGGAAGAGGCGAGGGCAGAGACAGATGGAAAAGAGGCCCGCCAGATCCAGGTACATGACAAGACGATGCACTGTTGGGTATGGATGACACCTTTGTGGAATTCCTCTTGCTTTGGTCGATAAAGCTACCAATTGTTGTGTTTTTGGTGTTTTAACGGTTCGCTTATGCGTTCGACCGAGTTAGCAATTACTTTGGAGCCGTTTCAACAATATTTGTAGCACGCGAACGTCTTCAAGGTTATTGTGGGCAGGAATGAGGCTACCATGGCCCGGGGCAGATGCAGATCCATGTCCACCCGCAAGGAGGACACAAACAGTCTCAGGCAGCGGACGTGCAATTATTCGCACATGCAACCTTGCCCAATGCATAACGGATATCAACACAGACCTTTCCTCTTTTCTAAGCTGGTTAATGTTTTTTCCTGTATAAGTCTAATTGTTCGTCGCCCAGCGTGTTGTTTGTGTATTTTCCGCCAGAAAATTGCGACCGGCGGGGAGTTTTCAGTATATGCTTCTTCTCCCCTCACGCGGACGGTTGTGCCTTCCTATCGTTTGTTGGCCAGGGGGGTCGGAACGTCATGGAAACAGAGCGCCGGAGTCAGCAAGTCCAACTCGACACGATCCCCGCCGTTCGGCAAATGCTTTCGACAGGTGTGTTTGTTACGCGCTAAGCGTGACCGCGACACTTTTATTGCGGGACAGTCAACACTGGCACCAACAGCAACACTGGTAGGTTAGTAGAAGGAATTGACGGCGTATCTGACAGTAGCAACCCTTCCCTCGCCAATGTTTTCCCACGATCTACAGGGCGCGACCCCTCCATCCATGTGCCAAAGCTCGTCGAGTTCGTCCAGAACGAAGACGACTCCGCTCTGCAGATTGAGTCGGTCGGGTTGTTGGCGACGATCTCTGGTAGACACACCAATGTGGTGGTCGAGAACGGCGCCGTTCCAGTCTTCGTACGTTTGCTCACAAGTACCAACGACGACATCCGAGAAGAGGTGGTGAGTCTTGTTGTTGTTGTTGTTGTTGTTGTTGTTGTTACTTTGTTTTGAACTAGTGGCCGCCAGCGATTTGACGTTTCCTCTTCCACTCTCTCTCTGGTTGTTGTTTTGTTACAGAAGTTGCTGGTATTTCTCTGCACCGTGGATGCTCCTTTTTCGAGACGTAGCCTACCGACATGCCCCCCTCGCACCGATAGTCTTGCCGGATAATGTTGGCATGGAATGTTCCTGCTGGACGATGTCGCATGAATTATACCACTACCTACCTCGCACATCTGTAGTGAGTCGAGAATCTGATCTATCACTGCAACATGCGTATATTGATAACATACCCCAAAGTCTCTCCGTCGAGTGTTGGCATGTGCACTCTCCTCGTTGTCGTCTGTCAAAAATAGTGATTGAACTCCAATATTTTATGGGTGAAGAGCAAGGCAAGCCCTTTTGGTCCCCATAGGGCTTCCTTCCCATTCGCTTTCCGCAACAAGCGCACGCGATATATTTACGGTCATGCGCCTGCGTGCTGTTAACAGGTGCGGGCGGTAGGCAACATCGCGGGAGACTCCCCCTTTTCCCGCGACATGGTTCTTCAGCGAGGCGCGTTGGGCCCCCTACTCCAGCAGCTGACAGACCGATCTAAGCCGTCGATGCTACGGATAGCCACGTGGGCACTGAAAAGATTCTGCGGCGAGATTTCGCCGCCCAGGTTGGAGCAAGTCAGTCCAGCGCTGCCCACCCTGGCTCGACTGATGCGCTCCGTCGACGAAGAGGTGCGGTGCCACCATCCTCTCAGTACAGGATTATTATGCTTCTGCCGCCCACAAATAGAAGGAGCTTGTGGTTCTGCCCACAGCGAAGTCGTTCTCGTGAAAGTCGAGTTCATAACACTGGCGGTGAACTACTGCCTTGGCTGTTCGTATTTAGTTGTGCCTGACGTCCACATCACACTCGTGAAACGTCTCATTTATTATTCTGAGCTGGGCTTATGACGGAAGGGTTGCACTTTCTCTGTGAGCCCGGTGCGCTTCGAAAACGAGGGGAACGGGTGTACGTTGCTGATTGTAGAGGTTGTGAAGCCCGATGCGTGTATCCCCTCCTGACTACTGCCTTCCTTGCGCCGACTTTGGTGATACGCTAGGTGCTGAGAAATGCGTGCGCGGCTCTACGCTACCTTTGCGCTCCGGTGTTGGAAGCGAGTTTTTTGGCAGGCATCGGCGCACTTATGCATAGAGAAATGGTCCAGGCGGTGGTCGGAGCCGGAGTCTGCCAGCGCCTAGTGGAATTGCTGGACCATGCCTCTCCCGCCGTGCACTTGGAAGTTTTGTGGGCCATGAATGGAATCGTTTCGAGCGAGGACCAGCATACGCAGGTGATGAACAGGACTTCGCACGAACTGCAGAGTAAGGGGTGGGGAGAAATTCTGAGCTTGACGGAAATAAGAAGGGTGGAGAGGTTGTTGCACAAGCGGCATGTTTGTAGTGCCCATATGTGTATGTGTGTGTTGCACCAAACAAACGGGTGGGTTGACCCCATTGTGCATGTGTCGCGTGCCTACGTTCGTTCATAACAAACGCTCCTGTGACTAACGGCCTTCGTCTTTGTGAACTTGCCACATCTTCAGGTGTTGATCGATTCCAACGTGTTACCGAGGCTGCATCACCTACTAGTTTCGTCTCATCATCAGAATCTTCGCGAGAAGACTTGCCAAGTCATTTGCAGGATCACGACGGGCCGTGAGGAGCAGATCCAGGCAGTGATCGAGGCCGGCATCATCCCCACCCTCATCCAGTTCCTTGCCGACGTGAATTCCGACATTCGACGGGTGCGTGATTTGTTCGCAGCACTTTGACCTCTTGTTGTCTTCGTGCGTGATGTACTCGTTTCACTGCCCTCCGTCGTCTGGTTTTCTTTCCATGAAGGCGGAACATCTCTATTCTCATCACGATTTCGATCCCTTAAGAGTTTTTCACGTCGACGAAAGTCGTCGTGCTTCAGTTTTTTTTTTTGTGGGATCGTGCCCTGATTTCTCTGAACAATTGCACCGCAGGAATAAGGTTGCCAGAGATTTCCGTTTACATTTCGAGGCTACACCTGTTTTAATTCTGCAATGCGCGAACGCATACCTCCTGCTCGTCGTTGTCGCCTCCCACCGCCAGTACGCTGCATCAGCTATCTCGAACGTGGCCGAGTTTGGCGACCCGGAGGAAGTCAAGGGATGGATCCCGCTCCTGTTCATACTCTTGGAGAGTGATACCCAAGGCATCCTCAGGGTGTTCGGGATCCTTGAGAAATTCCTCAAGGTGCGACTCATGAACTAGGTGTCCACAGAGTTACCAGACATGTCGATGCATGTTGTCGTTTGTGCCCAGAATAGTTGTGTTGAGTTGACCGTAGAGGCTCGTGGGTGCTTCACGTCTCTTGTTTTGATTGGTATGGCTATGTGCCTCCACCTGACAAGCTGTTCATGGGCTTTGACTGACGTCTCCTTGAATGTTTCTCATCCGCAGGTGGTTCCTCACTCCGATGCATGGCGGCCGTTTCGTTCTCTGCTCAACTCTCCGAATACAGTAGTCTGCGGTAGGGCTTGCAGGGCCATCCACTCGATCACGTGGGGCAACAAGAAGCAGTCTCGGGCCGCGATCGAGGCCGGCATCGTACCTGTCCTCATCAAGCTCCTTGCCGATGCGAATCCCGTCTTTCGATATGTGCGTGCTTTGTTTGCTGACCACGTGTTTGAGTTCGTACATGGTGTTTGGCTGGACCCCTTCCTGTCCGTCATCTGGTTCTCGTTTCGATGGAGGCGGGACGTCTTTTACTCTCATCACGCATTTTGATCTGAGTTCTGTCGTTGAACGTCGTCCTGCTTCAGATGTTTGCGCCTCTTCTTTTGTGCAATTCCCGTAAGGTTGCGAGTCAGCGCACAGGGGTGCAATCGATTTTCAAAGCGTAATTTCGCCACAACTAGGAGGGTGCGAGCGCCAACTGATACTTCTCAGGAAAGCTCTCGATGAGATATTTCCAAAACCGCCCATTTTCGACAGCAGCAGTGGTATTCTAACCTCCTGGCTGTGGAGAAATTACGCTTTGAAAATCGTTCGCACCCCTGTGCGCTGACTAGCAACCTTACGGTATTACTGTGCCCATAGTTGTCTACACGGTTGCACCGCAGCTATTGAGTTTTGGCCGGTGATTTTAGGTGTACATGTTCGAGGCTGCACCTGTTTTAGAACTCGTGCTAATCGTGGTTGTCGCCTCCCACCGCCAGTACGCTGCATCAGCTATCTCGAACGTGGCCGAGTTTGGCGACCCGGAGGAAGTCAAGGGATGGATCCCGCTCCTGTTCATACTCTTGGAGAGTGACACCCAAGGCATCCTCAGGGTGTTCGGGATCCTTGAGAAATTCCTCAAGGTGCGTCTCATGAACTAGGTGTCCACAGAGTTACCAGACATGTCGATGCATGTTGTCGTTTGTGCCCAGAATAGTTGTGTTGAGTTGACCGTAGAGGCTCGTGGACGCTTGCTGAGTTTTTTTTTTTTAGAATGGCTGTGTGCCTTCATCCGACAAGGTGTCCAAGGGCTTTGGCTGACGTCTCCTTGAATGTTTCTCATCCGCAGGTGGTTCCTGCCTCCGATGCATGGCGACGGCTCCGAGATCTGCTCAGCTCGTCGGATCCTAAAGTCCGCGAGAAGACTTGCGAAATCATCCACAAGGTCACGAGGTGCAACAAGGAGCAGTCTCGGGCCGCGATCGAGGCCGGCATCGTACCTGTCCTCATCCAGCTCCTTGCCGATGGGAATCCCGACATTCCGCGGGTTCGTGCTTTGTTTGCTGACCACTTGTTTGAGTTCGTGCGTGATGTTTCGCTGGACTCCTTGCTGTCCATCATCTGGTTCTCGTTTCGATGGAGGCGGAGCGTCTTTTACTCTCATCACGGATGTTGATCTGAATTCTGTGGCCGAACGTCGTCCTGCTTCAGATGTTTGCGGCCCTTTTTCTTTTGTGTAATTGTAATCGTGCCCATATTTGTCTGCACCGTTACACCACAGCTATTGAGTTTAGGTCGGCTGCGATTTTGCACGTACATGTCCGAGCCCTGTTTTAGTTATTCAACGCGCGAACGCGTGCTACTCGTTGTTGTCGATCCTTCCCTCCCCCTCCCCGTAGAACCCTGCATCAGTCTCGAATGTCACGGAGGAAGACGAGCCGAAGGAAGTCAGGGGATGGATCCCGGTCTTGTTAGCCCTCTTGGAGATTGACGATACCCAAGTCATCATCGGGGCGCTCGAGATCCTTGGGATAACCCTCCAGGTAAAACGTTGTGTGGAGGCGTCCGCGAGGGACCGACATCTGCATGCACGTTGCTGTTTGCTTCCAAACCGATTGTGCTGAGTGGAGTTTCGAGCTTCGTTGACGCATCGTGGACGCCTTTTTGGTATGACGCGTGTCTCCTCATGACGCCGTGTGTTCATGACCTTTGACTCCCGCCTCCTTGAATGTTCCTCATCTGCAGGCGGTTCCTCACTCCGATGCATGGCGATGGCTTTGTCATCTGCTCAGTTCGTCGAATACTAAAGTCCGCTATAAGGCTTGCGAAGTCACCCGCTGGATCACGACGGTCAACAAGGAGCAGGCTCGGGCCGTAGTCGAGGCCGGCATCGTACCTGTCCTCATCAAGCAACTGGCCGATAGGGATTCCGACATTCAACGGGTGTGCAATTTGTAAGGCAGTACATTGACCGCTTGTGGTGTTCGTGAGTGTGCGTTGTTTCGAGGTACTCTCGTTTCGATGGGGGCGTCGTTCACTCTGATCACGCATTGATCTGAATAATTTTCTTCATGCCGTCGAACGTCGTCTTGCTTCAGGTATTTCCGGCCAGTATTCTTTCGTGTGGTTTTGCCCTAATTTGCCTGCACCGTTGCACTGAAGCTAGAATTTATGTTTTTTTGGCAAGCGTTGCATGTTTTGATTACAGTCGGCGGTCCTCATTAACGGTACCCTCAATAGCGGAATGCCCTCTATAGCGGCACCGAAATTGTTTGGCACAAATACATTTCTCAGTACAAATCCCTAATAGGAATAGCGGCACTGCCCTCTATAGCGGCACCAAAACCTCTTGTCACTACCTACCGCTATTGAGGACCACCGACTGTATGTATCCCGCGAACGCGTGTTGCTGTCGACACATGCGGTGCTACTCGTGGTTTCCCCCCCACCCCCCCCCCAGCACGCGGCATCAGCTATCTCGAACGTCATCGAGTTACGCGAGTCGGAGGAAATCAGGAGGTGGGTCTCGCGCCTATTGAGCCTCTTGGGGAACTGCGGCACCATCTCCACCGCCCGGGTGTCATGGATCCTACAGAAATTCCTTAAGGTGCGACTCGTGAATTAGGCGTTCACAGAGTGACTACACATGCCAAGCATGTTGGCGGTTGTGTACAGAACAATCGTGCTGAATCGAGCGTAGAGGCGCGTGGACGCTTCGTATATCTTGTTTTGATTGGTTTGGATATGTGCCTTCACTCGGCAAGCTGTTCATGGGCTTTGACTCCCGCCTCCTTGAATGTTCCTCGTCCGCAGGTGGTTCCTGACTCCGATGCATGGCGGCGGCTGCTTGATCTGCTCAGCTCGTCGAATACAGAAGTCCGCGAGAAGACTTGCCAGGTCATCCACGAGGTTACGAGGTGCAACAAGGAGCAGACTCGGGCCGCGATCGAGGCCGGCGTCGTACCTGCCGTCATCCAGCTCCTTGCCGATGTGAACTACGGCATTCGATTGGTGTGTAATTTGTTCGCAGCACATTTACCACTTGTTGTGCGTGAGTGTGATTTGTTCGGAACTCTCCTGTCCGGTATCTGGTTCTCGTTTCGATGGAGGCGGGGCGTCTTTTCCTCTCGTCGCGATTTTGATCCGAGCAGCTTTTCCTCTGTCGTCGAAGGTCGTCGTGCTTCAGATTCCATCCCTTCTTTCAACGTGTGATTGTGCCCGTATTAATCTGCACCGTTGCACGGCAGGTATAGTGTAGTCCAGCGATTTTGCGTGTACGTGTCCGAGGCTGCACCTATTTTTTTATGCAACGCTCGAACCCGCGCTAATCGTGGTTGTCGTCCCCCCCCCCCCAGTGTGCTGCATCAGTTATCTCGAACGCCACCAAGTTTGGCGAGCCGGAGGAAGTCAGAGGATGGATCCCGCGCCTGTTCATCCTCTTGGAGAATTTCATTACTGCCGAAGTCATGGCGAACGTGCTCGAGATCGTCGAGAGAATCCTTGAGGTGGGTGGCTGATAAAGGCCTTGTTGTTTCCGCCGCGCTCTGGCGCGCAGCGCCTTTGCCGAAAATTCCGAAGCGGCCATTTTTTTTTGTAGGTTTTGAGTCAGGGTTGCACTACTGTTTGTGTCCCTTTGATCCCTCGTACCTCATGTAGTATGCGTTTTTCTGCGAACTTCTCCCTTTGCGCTTGTTGCTTGTGTGTCGCAGCGCGGTGACACGGATGCGAAGGCGCAAGGGCATGAGATGAACCAGATGGCTACGTGCATGCTTGAATGCGGTGGATGGAAGCACCTTGAACGTCTCGAGTGTTCCGGTCTATCTGAATCCGTCGACGGATTAGGTTTCTTCGACATCATCGCAAAGGTTCGGAGAAGCTTGACGAGACTGTTTGTGTACGCCATGTACCTGATGTTCAACTTAGTTTGCTGACCGGGCGGTTTGATCGACATATTTTGGAAACCATGCAGTTTGAATGTCCACCTTATGCCATGCATGTACTTATCTTACCCCCTCATCTGCCCTCGTCAATACCAGCGCAAGGCGCGGGAGAAACTGAAGCGCTTTAAGCTTTAACAATCTCGCAGACGAGTACGCACAAGGCGGAGCGCAGAGTGGTCCTACTGCATGATGTCCTGGTTACTGGTTCATTAGGCCTGGTAGTCCTGGAGGATTGCTTGTTTGTTTGAAGGTCTACAAAATGGTGCCCCAGAAATGATCGAATGAACACTCGCTTTTCGTTGCTTGGCAAAGAGGATTGGCTTAACTTCAGCCCGGTCTGTTGCTACAACTTCGTGAAAAGAGAGTGGATCAAAGTTGTGGAGTTGAGCGTGCGTGGAATGAAGGTTTCGTACGTATGTCGGGGTAGCCTCCAATCGCAGTTGGTTGGTTGAGACTCGGGGGAATCCGTCCGCTGTAGTTGTACAGCAATAGCTGGGGTCACATGCCTTGTGCTGTTCCCCTTAATGTACACCCCCCTGAACGTCCACGCGGTGACTACTTGTTGTGCTACCGGTGGTACTTCTAGCGCAGTGTGGTATGATTTGAGGCAATGTGATGTGATGTATTGCAACCTGGTGTGATACGATGTAGGGTATAACCGGGTGGGATTTGATATTGAACCGTTTGAAGTGTTCAATCCTCACAAGACCTGCCGGGCGGCACTCGTCTTCCAGCACCGGCCATGGCGTTGCCGGCAAATGTAGAACCGTCGGTAGGATGTCGATGTTCAAACCCGTTGTTGTTGAAGCGTTGTCGAAGCGCCTGAACGGGTACTGTGATGTACGAAGGTGTTATCGTACAGTGCGACGGGTATGCTCTGTGCAGCCCCCTGATACCAACCACACCTCACTCTCGCGTCAGCACAAGAAAACCGTCGAATATTGGCGTCAGCTTGTTGTTATTGTTGTTGATAATGGTGATGATAGTGATGACGGTTGTTTATGTTGTCGCTATTCATGTTGTCGTTACTGTTGTCGTTGTCGCTATCGTCGTCGCTGCGGTTGTCGTTGTTATTGTTAGCGCCATCGGTGTCGTTGCTGTTGCCGTTGCTGTTGCTGTCGTTGGGGTGTCGTTGTTCATGCTGTTGATGCTGCTGTCATTCCCGTCGCCGTTGGGTGCTGTCTTCGTTGTTGCAGTTGTCGTTATCGTTGTTGCTGTTGCTGTTGTTGTTGCTGTTGCCGTTGTTGCTGCTACAAAGTTGTATCGCGTATCATACGTTGTGTCGCGTATCATACGTATATTGACAATGGTTCTGACATGCCTCTGCCCCGTACCCCGTACATTTCGTATTGATCCACATCCGGAGAAGGCGGATTCTCCTCGGCCGCAGACTAATGTTATTTTGACACCCTGGCAACGTCCCCATCATACTCGCGAATTACGTTAACAGTATGCACAAAACAAATCTGGCGGCCCTATGGCATCAAATCATTTTGTAAGGTCAGGTTGCACCTCATGACCTAAACAATTACGTTGTGAGGCTGAATGGTGCGTGCCCGCTGGGTTCCCAGGACCGCACTGTCCAGCGATGGAAACCCCACCATAGTTCCTCCCGAGGCTTTCCACTACTCCTGGTTCGGAGAAAACGGCGGAAGAGATTCTGACGAAAGAACACGAATACAAGGGGCACCGATCAATTTAGCGTATCAGACAAGGCATGCCAAACTTCGACGGAGAAAAACACGTGGTACGAAGTATACTAGAAAGGGGAATTTCTCGAAGTTGAGATGATGGGAATTAAAAGAAGAGTGTTGGTCTGGTTCGTTTTGAGAGTATGTTCCAGCAGGGTAGCGCGATCCCCGATCTGTTTGACCCTTGTTGTCGTGTTCTCCTCGCGCAGCGGGACAGACAAACTGCCGTGGACGCAAACATATGGCGTAAGCAAGAGCATCGTCGATGCAAACACCCCATGGGGCGACTTTGACTCGCCTCGCGACCTCTTCCAAAAGCCACTGCGCCTTCCTCAACCGGGCACGTTGCTCGCCATCCACGCCCTCCAGTATCACAAGCACCTCTCGTATGGATGTGCTCTCAACCCCGTTCTATCAGCCTTCCTTCCCCTCCCCACCCTCTTTGTCTGCCATCTTTTACCGAACGAAGGTCTTCCTCGTTACGTATCGGCCCCTCAATGCACCGTCGTACTCCCGTTCCAGGGTCATCGCCAACGGCCATGGCTGGGGTTTGACACGGTGGTAGAGCCACCACACTACCTTTGTTCTCCGGTGTTGGTCTTGTTGTTAGTAGTGTCGTTGTTCGGTGTTACTTTTTTTATTGTCGTTGTCGTTGTTGTTGTCCATGATGATGAGGTTATTGATGTTGTTGCTGCTGCCGTTATCGCCGTCGTCGCCATTGTAGCTTAACGCAGGCGGCGCCACCTTTTGTTGGACCTCGGTTGAACAGTCTGAGCGGGTACCGTTTTCGTCGAAAACCGAAGAGGAAGGAGTACACAGGGAGTGAGCAACATGATCTGCATGTTTTTCGGGTATGTAGTCTATGTTGTGATGACCGGCACATAAGCACACCGGTTGTGCGGCCGGCTCGTTGGCATATGCTGGCTCGAAACATCGATCTCGGCTTCACAATATTTCCTGCAACTACCAGGGCTACCTTCGTCGTTCTAGGGAAAAGGTGTCGGTCGTTCAGTGTGACTTGCTGAGTCATGAAAACGTGGCGGCGATTGTTGTATGACAAACACAATTGATTCGTTCTTCACCCCCTTTTTGGTGCCACCGACCGCTTTGAAATACAAAACGAACGCAGGAATACTATTACATTGCCTGGGAGAAGAGTGTTCCACTGTGTATAATACACTTGATTGTGTTGAGAAGTACAACGACAGCTGACCAACGGTTGTTCGCTCACCTTCCTGCCGCAGGAGGCATATCTTTTCCCCGCAGGAGGAGTGGTTTTGTGTACAACGCCACCAGCTCTGCCGCGAATTAGCCGATGACGAGTTGGCGAGGTATTGTGAGCACTTTGAAATAAACCGGGGGATGTTGAAGCCTGGTCTATCGTGTGCAGTTTCAGACCACCTGCACGACGAGTGAGAATGGGAAGATGCCGTCGACACATGTCAGAAACCAGGGCCTTCACGTACGAGCAGGACAGGTTCTATACACAACGGCGACTTGCAGTAGTGTGCCGCAATGCCAAGCATCGCAGTGCTTATTTCACTGGTGGCGTGGAGCACCATCAGCTCGTGTTGGTTGGCAGCCGGTGCTGCTGTCGTCCCGATACATCTAACTACAGTAGTCTAATACATCTAGGCAGCAGCCAGCCTGCCTTGATCGTCCCACTGATGATTCGTTCTTTTCTCATTTGTTGTGTTCTCAAGCGCGGTTGTACACATGACATGTACACATGTAGTCTACGCATATTCTGTTTGCGTGTTTGCGTACATACCGCTACGAAGGTCATCCCACCTAGCTGTTGCTAAACCTTGTATTTATGCCCGGTGGCTTTTGTGTGATGCATGCCGGGATGCCGAGAGAGTGCCATTGGAGCACTCGAATATGGCCCAGCCGATCAACAACCGGGCGGGGTTGTTGAGCGTGTGTGTGCGCTATCCTTTTATCGGAGTTGCGGGGTGTTGGTCCGTTGGTGGTCTGGTGTATCCACTCTTTGCATAATTGCGCCGCATCGTGTATCCACTCTTTCATAGCTCGAAACCTCACAAGCTCACCCTCCCTACTCGCCCACCGCGCGCCTCTCTCCCTCCTCCCTTACCCCTGTCGCTGTCGCCTCTCATATCATGGGCAAGCAACCTACAACCTTTCGAATATGGGGTGCGGCGGGTGTAATAAGCCATCGCGACGTCTTCGAGTCGTTCTTCGACAAGCTCCACGAACGAGTCGCACTTAATTACGCCTTTGCCGCGATTGGGATGCCCGAACCGCACTCCTCATCAACCTTCCTCATCAATCTCAAGAAGAAGGCTACCCTGACGTTCGTGAAGAAGGTCCTGAATCAAGACCTTGGCACTCAGTACACGGCGGAGGCTGTGGAAACGATCACGGGACAGAAGTTCGTCCCCGGAGAACTCAAAAACTCGAATACAGCTAAGGCTACGATAGAGCTCGAGGCAGCTGCAACAACGGCAGTGCAGCTCGGAGATTCGACCGCAAAATTTGCTCTCGTCGGTGTATCCCAGCGAGCAACGTACTCATACAGCACCCGGGCAGGTCTTGTCAAGGTATGGCATGAAGAACGCACAGCTCGTCCCCTTGAGAAGGAGAATCCTGTGCCTGTGCCTGCAGCAGGCGAACAAGCCGGTGTCGCCGCATGTAGCCTCGCCGCGCCCCATCATCAGGTGCGAAGGTCCCCGTCGATTTCCGCTCTCCAACCCCTACTACTGCTGTACCTGGTACACTACTACAAGCAGTAATGTACTGCTGTGGATGAAAGATGCGACAAGAGGCTGCTGCGTGAATGCTACAAAAAAACGACAATATTATGGAGCACTTTACTGCTGCTGTTCATTTGTTTTTTTAGAAAGAAACCTCACAGAAGACTACCCGGTCGAGATATAACCTCAGTCGAAAGGGATGTGGTGAAGTTTCCTTCAAGGTGGAAGGTCTGTGAGATTATTTGTTGTGTGACTGATGGCGACCCCTCTTGACGCTGCCTCTATTTCCATACTTTATCCAGTATACCAAAAGAAGCAACCCGCCGTGTCTACATGGTTTCACTTTGCTACTGTTGTTACCGGTAGAATGCACCTACATGTGTATGTACAGTAGAGTCTAGACCAACACCCCGTGGCGGCGAGCACAAGCAGTCAAAGACACTGGGTGTCGGTCTAACTTGGGAAGATTTGCGGAGATTTGCTACTACAAGTACTATTATAGAATACTACTGCGACCCGCGATATCACACCACCCAAGAAGCAGATTTGAGCGCCCACACACACCGCTGCTATAGGTTGTGTCCTCTAGTGGTATCAACACTCAGTCAGGTAGGTGTCGTTAGAACGCTAAACCAACCATATTTGAGCGCCTGCCATTTTGGCTCCTTTGACATGAATTTAGACTGGTGCGATTTTTATCTTGATTTCAAAGGAGGCGTGTGTGGTAGACTCATGACATGTACGTGTATGTTTTGAGCAGGCTCTACAGTACTACTGCCGCCCTGTGCGAGAATCAACGATTTCTGTTTTCTCGATGCCTTCCGACAGGTCTTCTTGTGTGCTGGTGTGCATTTTCTGGTGCTCTTCCGGTTTGTTTCAAAACAGTCAACATCTCAGCAGCAGTTTGGATCAGGCAGCCCTTATGTGACTACATGCTACCAGGTAGATGATAGCAGTACGATACGTTGTGTGCCGAAAAAATATCGCTGGCGTGCCTCGCCAAAGAGAAAAAACACCTGCGCCGTAAAGGCCAGCAGAGAGACCAAGAGGCAGCCCACCGCACACGCACGCACACGAGCAATGTGCGCAGGGGTATACACGAAGTACTACCATTTGTACAGCAATAATGTCTCTGATGTGGGGCAGATATATATGTCCTTTCTTTCCAGACCCAATCTACTGCCTACCTGCTGAAAGATCCAAACGGAAAATACCACGGGAGGGTACATACAGCACCCTCAACATGCGATCAACCCGGGGTCCCGCTTGCGCGATGGAGAGCAGAGATAACGCACCCCGGAGCCGATGCTAACGTGCTGCCTCGGTGCCTGATGCGGTCATGACTGCGGTGTGTGTTGTCCAGAATATTAGGAGTGAAGGAGGTCCGTGTGCTGTTTGCAATTTTCACTCAAGGGAAAGGGTTTTCGGGAATACATGCACGGTAGCATGCACGGAATTGTATAATTTGCCGTGTGTTTTATCCATTTTTTGCGATAATAATATCGTGGGGTCGATTTGCTGTGTGCGCCGGAAAAACAAAGTCAAATTATCCCAGTCACGTGATTAATGTACAGAGAGTATTGTAGCATTGCACGCGTTGTCGTATAGGCAGCGTTCCAACACCATGCACGCACCCTGTATGCGACACACACACCCAGATAGGTATCCGGGTATCCGGGAGGTAACTGCTGTAGGTAGGTGTGCAACACGGACGAACGGCCTCGCCTCGTTCTGCTGTTAGCGCGCCTTTTCATGCCCCCCCCTCTCTTCCCGTTCTTCCGCTTCGCGGTCCCTCTCCCGAGGATTGAATTCCTGACACCAGCTAGGCTCCGTTTTCTGTAGACGTCTTGAAAATATTTGCAGAACAACTACTTCCACATCACACGACAGAAGAAATACAAGATATCCGTTGAAAGAAACTTCGTATTGAAGCCGGCAGCGAGGATCGAATGACGCCTGCTGTGTTCTGTTCGTTTCGTTGTTCCCGCCCGCCGCCGACCCTTACTCTCGAAGTTGCTTCCATTGTCGGGAAAAGTGCCTTCCGAGTTCTCCAGTGGCGCGCACGGGCACGCCTTGAGCGGCCAAGGGGCGGGGGGGGGAGGGGGCGGCAACAAAGGCGGTTGCAAGCCGATTGGCGACCGGTCGGACTCAAGCCTCCCCCGGCAATCCTTTCCAGCGTCGGGGGACCAGGGGGTTGAAGGGATGAGTGTAGAGGAGCGTGGTTGGGACGGAGAAGCGCGTCAATATGTTCCTCGTTGGCGCGTCGGGGGTCTTGGGCTGCTCGGCGGAGGCGATTGCGATGAAGAGGGGAAGGACGAGAGGAAACAGGCAAGACGGTCCTTTGCTACTTGCAACGCCAGGAACTAGAGATCGGGTCTCGCACACCACAGCCCTAGGAGCTGAGGGTACCTCCATGGCATCGCAAATATGAAGGTTTTCTGATTTGTCGGATATTGTTGTTGATGGCACGAAACGACAGTGTAATGATATTTGACCTCTTGCTTTGGAATTTATCACCTTTCGGCTGTGTGAACTCTCTTGTCTGACCACAGATGCAGGCTGCTGGTGCTTCCCTTTATTCTCTTCTTGACTGATGCTTTCCCGTTGTCTTCCAACGCAGTAAAATAGACCGTGTCTTTCACCTCCACCCACTTGACAATCAAGACCGATCGCACGCACACAGAACAGAAGGGCACATGCCTCGGCATAAAGCCCGAGTCTTGCATGACGTCACGTTATAGCATCTGATGGCGCCAAATAAAAACATGATCACATGTCTACCTCCAGATACCATAACAACACGAGCGTTCACCTCCGCGATTCCCTCAACTGCTGCTGTACTACAGTTTCACGCAGATATACCCATGAGTCCTGCTTTTGTGCCGGGGAACTCTCTCCGAATTCCCAGTGAAACATCGCACCTAGACCCATATTCTTGGGTGTCTGAGGTGGTTGGGCAACACAAACGGACAGCCCCTACGATGCTACTGTTGTTGACGCACCTCACCAGTTTTCCCCTCCCTCTCGCTGTAACCAGGGCGTGCGCCGAACGACGACCCTACCTTCGCTTCCCGGAGGGTGGCAGGAGTGGCAAGACGGGAAGGTACTCTTTGCCTTATCACCTTCATCGTTTTGTTCTCCAAGCTTATTTTGTCTGTTCAGCATTTTATGTTCTGAGCGCGTGGAGACGAACGTACTCTCCAACATCTACATTCCAGCTTCGTTTCTTCTCTCCCACGTCTGAAGGTAGTACGTCGTCGAGGTAGTACTTCGTCGCTTTTGCTCACAAACATCTCCTCTCCCCCGCGCATATCGAAGGGGAGCACGACATGGCACGACCCCCGATCAGCAGCGCCGGCACCCGCAACCACCCGCCCGGTACGCAACATGGTCTGTCTATGGTTTCATCTGAAACTTTACCCCTTACTACTATCCAAGTGCCAAGGGCTGCACCGGCGTCGGCGGATCAGGGTCGACGAAAAGAGTGTAGAGGAGGCCTACTGATTGTCACGGAGAAATATATTGACTGGCATGATGGCGGTCTTGGGAACCTGCTCGACGGAAGTAATGGCGATGGCGAGGGGGAAGAAGGGGGGGGGGTGAGGCAAGACGGTATTTTCTAAATGGATAGAGTAACATGTTGTTTCGGCTTGTGCACCACAGCCCTGGCGCTGAGGGTATCTGGCATGGTAAGACAGCGAGACAAGACCATTATGACTGAACGTTCCGTAACTTCTCGGCTGGGCGTCAGGTCTCTAGTGTATTTCGAGGTGAGTCCTGCTATATACTCGCTGATTTTGGCGCAGCAGGAAGATACCCTGAATCCCCTTATCTCCAGTTTTCTCTGATTCAAGCATTTAACCTGCTACAGGAACGACCCGAGGAAGGCCTGGAAAGTTGTAGGCGGATCCTCCAGACCTCTCTTTCGAGCCTTGTGCCCTCGATTGGCTCCAGCACCAGCTTCCACGAGTTCTACGAGCGCTGCGACAGCGATTCATCTTGTGTAAGCCGCCTCCGCACCAGTGCCCTTGTTGTTGTCGTCGCCGTCTTTGATGTTGTTGTTGTTGTTGTTGTTTTCACAACGCCGATTCTTTCGGCCTACAATATAATCAAAGCACCAACGTGAATATTTGCGACCTGAACATCCCGTACTGTTGTAGGCTTAACACAAATCGTTTCAAGGGCTTGATTCGTTGTAGTTTTCGACATCGTTTCGAAGATCTTGTTTCCCACCATATGTTGGCAACGTAAATTCATCCTGTATGCAGCGCACCCTCTCTTTGGACAAGTTTTCTCACTATATCTCCACAGAGCATCATTGCGAACGCCGGCAATATGCATGAACGTGACACACAGGGGTCGGGGACAGAGCGAATGTTCAAGTCGGTGATGGACGAAGCCCTAGGGGCGCAAACGTGGCAAGCACTACCCCAACCTGCCGTGCACGACGCGCTGGAGAGGACAACCGAGCTTTCGCAATCGGTGCTAGAATTGTTTTCGTGGGAAGAGGCAAGGACGGAGAGAGACGTAGGACACGGGTACTGTTATATATAGCAAGAGACGATAGCGATGTAAATCATTACTGAAGAAAGGTCCCTCAGTTATTCCGCTTGGCGCAACAAGCATATAATTCATACCCCATTCCTTTTACTTTTCGCTTTTTCAAAGCCTGGGCATCCCCACGACGTACAGCAATTCAACCTCCTGCAGGAACGACCCGGGGAAGGCCTGGAAAACTATCGGCGGATCCTCCAGACCTCTCTTTCGAGCCTTGTTTCCTCGATTAGCTCTAGGACGAGCTTCCACGAGTTCTACGAGCGCTGCGGCAGTGATTCATCTTTTGTAAGCCATTCTCTGTATCGGTTTCGTTGTGTTCAAGCCGTCTCCGTGTCGGTATCATTATCGTCGTCGTCGTTCGTGGTGTTGTTGGTGCGTTTTCACAACGTGAAGAGTTGCGGTCTCCATCCATCTTGAACTGATTGATTCTTTTACGAAATCCTGGCCTTTTTTTTTTCAAGTGTGTAAAAAAAATGCTGCCGTCATAAACGTTTGATTTTTTTCTGCTTGGTCGGGGGCTGGGTTCGTTTTCGTTTTAGGACTCATTTCCACCAACATCGGGAACGAGTTTCTTTCGCGCCACTTTGTGTACGCCGTGCATCCTCCAATCCACCATCATAACTTGCGTTGCTTCACGACGTCACAGCCGATGAAATGCATCAACTTATCACACGCAGGGGCAGGAGTCGGAGCGACTACTCAAGTCTGCCGTACACGAAGCCTTGGAGCTGCACACGTCGCAATCACCGCCTAAAACCACCATGCACGAAGCTCTGGAGAGCACACGCAATTTTACGCCTTCTTGGCGAGAATTTATTTCGGTCGCCAACAAGGAGATGGAAGAGGCGAAGAGGGACAGAGATGCAAAGGTCGCCCACCAGATTCAGGTACATAATATGAGTTTGATGATTTTGTTGTCGGCTGGGATGGAACAGTTGTAGATGAAGAAGCTACGTGTTTTTACCCCTGTTAGCAGATGCTTTGCAGGCGTTTGAACTGGTTTGCAGCACGCGAACGTCTTCATGGAAAGGGGTGAGGCTACGATGGCCACAAGCAGATGATAGATGTACATGTCGAGTCCCGTACTGAGATTTTAGCTGGGTGGAACTAGTCCGACCACAGATGCAGGTTGTTGCTGCTTCCCGTTGTTCTTCCTTGGTTAAGTCTTCCAATCTCTTCGCACGCACACCGTGCAGCCAGAATCCAGCACAAGCCGCGACCAAGCGCAATTGCACCCGATCGGACCCGATCGCACACTGAACAGAAGGGAAGACTCGTCATAAAGCCCCAATCTTGCATGACGTCACAACAAAACATCTGATAACGCCAGACAACCATGGTAACGCACCATCACATGGCTACCTCCAAATACCGAAACACTCCACCCGCAACAAGGATGCATTCCAAGCAGCGAAATGGCGCCATTCGTCAGCCAGCGTGGTCGTGCATGTATTCTTGGCGGGGAAATGATGTGTTACTTTTCTCCACCTTTCACTCGGTCTGCTGTGCCTTCCTTTCTTTTGTGGACCAGGGGGGCCGGACCGCCAAGGAAACGGAGCTCCTGAGACCGCATGTCCAACTCGACACGGCAACCGCAGTCCGACAAATACTTTCGACAGGTGTAAGAATGTCCAAGGGGAATGCATTGCGTGGAGATTGTTCGTTGTCGGCGTGACCGTGCCCCCAGAAACGCGAGTAGTCTTTGTTGCCCACAGAAATGGTGCAGTGACACCATCTGACAGAAACAACAATCTCTCGCCATCGTTTTCCCACGGTCTGCAGAGCGCCACCCCTCTGTTCATGTGCCAAACCTCGTCCAGTTGGTTCAGCACGAAGACAACCCCGCTCTGCAGTTTGAATCGGTCAAGGTTTTGGCCACGATTTCTAGAAGCCAACCGAACGTGGTCGTCAACAATGGTGCCATTCCGGTCCTCCTACGGCTGTTCGCGAATGCCAACGACAACATTCGAGAGGAGGCGGTGAGTGTTGTTGTTATTGTTGTTGTTGTTGTTGTTGTTGTTGCTGTCTGAAGTATGTGCCCGATATATCGTGAGCGCTGAGACGCAAGAGCTCAACCTGTTCACACGGTAAATAAGTTTGCACTCGCATTTTGAGTCTGTTTCGACTGCTTTCGCCAACCTGAGCACGTCAATCTTTCGATCGCAACGCATGTGTCGCGGATTTGAGACCCGAAGCGCGAACCGGATTACACTACGGGTACAAGGCATTGACGTGTGGTGCACCACTTTTTTCGGCTGTCGTCTCCGGCCCGAGCTTGCCAATCTAATGATCACAATGCCCGTCTCGCGGCTCGAGACTCGAAGGGCGAATCTACGCGGTACTGGCACTTTATTGAGAATCGCGACACTCAATTGACACGGACGGCAGATGCTCTCCTCTGCGCAGGCGACATCAATGCTGCTGTTGTTTCGTAATTTGGGCGGCGAGGAAAGTATCGCTGGGAGATCCTGCTCAGAAATATCTGTTTCCCAAGATATCTGTCATTGACTGTTATCCCACTCGGTACACCTTCTTCACATATGTCGTCGTCGGCAGGACATTGGTTCAACTTTAGTTGTGCACATTTTTCTCCTGGCGTTGACATTTTTACATTTTTCCACAACAGGAAAAACTACGTCCTGAGAGCACCTCCTGGACCGATCCCAAAAACAGTTTGGTGAAACCTCCATCGAATTGCCCTGTCTAGTCCCAAGGATCCCGCGCAGATACTATATGTTCTGTGGGTGGAGTGGAGTGTAGAGAAGGATACGTTCTCCAGGATATCTGTCCTTTGACGGTTTCCCTGATTGGTACACCTTCACATTTGTTTAGGCTTTCATGTGCCAACTACAAGATCTTTCACGCATGTACGTCGGAAAATAATGCCGCTGCAATAATCATCACGTACCTGCGTGCTGCCAACAGGTGCGGGCGCTAGGGTACATCGCAGAAGACTCCCCCAGGTCCCGCGACCTGGTTCTCCACCAAGGCTCGTTGGATCCCCTGCTCCAGCTTTTGATGGACCGACCTAAGCTGACGATTCTTCGCAACGCTACCTGGATGCTGTCGAACTTGTGCCGCGGGAAGCCGCCACCCAGGTTCGAGCAAGTCCGCCCGGCGCTGCCCGCTTTGGCGCGGCTGCTACACTCCGTCGACGAAGAGGTGCGTGACCACTATTCTTGCCCAGCGGATAGGAAGAGGCGAGGTTGCGACTCTGCGTACTGCGAGCATGGTTCGCTTGGGAGTCGGCTCCATTTCACTATCTAGGGTTGAAATTCTATGGTTTTTCGTTACTTATTGTGCCTGGCATCCCAAGACACTGGAGAACGTGTCATCATATTGTGAGCTGGTTTTCGAAGGGAGCATTGCACGTTCTTACTGAACCCGTTGCCTTTTGAGATTAGGGGAAGAGATGGTGCATCCCTGATGGGAAAAGACTGAGGCCCGACGCAGGTATCCCGTCCCAACTCTGCCGGTGCTCTAGGTGCTGAGGAACACGTGCACGGCCCTACGCCGGGTTTGCATCTCGCGATGGAACAATAACAGCACTCAACCCTCGAAGCATCTAAGAGTCCAGGCCGTGATCGAAGCCGGAGTTTGCCAGCGGCTAGTGAGGTTGATCAGCCACGACTCTCCCACCACCGTCAAGATAAAATCTTTGCGCGCCATCTCAACAATCGCTTCGAGCAGCGACCGGCACAAGCAGGTGATACCAGACACTGGAAGAGCTGCAGGGTAGTGTAAGGGACACTCCCTGCACCGGCTTGCTGTGCTCTCGGTGCTGAGAAACGCGTGCGTGGCCCGACGCTGCCTTTTTGGCCCGCGGTTGAAAAAAACATTGTTGGCAGACTTCGGCGTTCATAGCGAATGTTCCGGGCGATTGTCGGAGCCGGAGCCTGCCAGCACCTAACTGAGTTACTGGACATCGTCTTTCCCACCATGCATACGCGAGCATTTTGCGCCACTGATGAACCTTTTCGAGCGAGGATCAGTACACGCGGGTGATGCATCGAACATTCGAAAGAACCGCAGCGTAGTGTGAGGGGAAATGCTGAGCTTCGGGTGGTATTCATATGTTTGTGGTGCTGATGTCTATACTATACCTATTCCTTGCACCAAGCAAACCGATTCACCAAACTGCTGTGCACGCATCGCGTGCCTACGTTCGTTCACAACACAAGATCCTCCTGACCGCCGGCCTTCGTCTTCCTGAACATGCCACATCTGCAGGAGTTGGTCAACTCCAACGTGTTACCGAGGCTACGTGACTTACTCAGTTCGTCTCATCAGATGCTCCGCGAGAAGACTTGCCAAGTCATTTGCAGGATCACGACGGGCAGTAAGGAGCAGACCCAAGCAGTGATTGAGGCCGGCATCATCCTCGCCGTCATTCACATCTTGCCAAGCACACGGAACTTGTTGGTCGGATCGGTATGCATCCACGCCCGCGAATGAATAGCCATTTGGGACGGGTTTCACATTCATGAACTTAACTTGATGAGATTTTTACGTCATCGCATGTCCTCGCGTGTTTGGCATTGTGATTTTATATGTCTGTACGGCATTTACGAAGCGGTGCTGAAGGCAACGTTACACATTTTGTTTTAAGAACATCACGCTGTGCTGCCAATGTATGCCATGCTACAGCACATCCAGACAATGTTCTCTCGGGCCATCGTGGTGGGTAGGCCTGAGGAGATGATGGAATGGATTCCGCCTCTGGTAGACCTTCTGGGCATTGGTAACTTCCAAAACATCCCCCTGGCGCTTTGGGTCTTCAAGCAAATCGCCAAGGTGCGGCATATGCGTAGGCACCCATGCGTGATATGTTTGTCCGCGGAAGGATTGGACTGGGTTGAGCTTAAGATGTTCGTGGATGCTTTGTGGGCGTACTTTAGGTGTGACTTCGTGGCTTCACCCGTCAAGCTGTTCATGGCCTTCGGCTGACGTCTCCTTGAATGATCCTCGTCCGCAGGTGGTTCCTGACTCCCATGGATGGCAACGGCTCCAACATCTGCTCAGTTCGTCGGATACTGAAGTCTGCGAGAAGGCTTGCCGAGTCATTCACAGGATAACGAGTGGCAACAAGGAGCAGGCTCGGGCCGCGATCGAGGCCGGGATCATACCTGTCCTCATCCAGCTCCTTCCCAATGCGAATCCGTACATTCGATCGGTGCGTCATTGTTCGCATCACATTGGCCACTTGTTTGTTTTCGTGCATGTTTTTTTCGTTGAACTCCTGTCCGTCATGTGGTCCTCGTTTTGATGGAGACGGGGCGGGGGGTCTCTATTGCGATCGGATCAAATTGTTTCACGTCGTCGAACGTTGTCGTGCTTCAGGTTCCGGCCCTTATTCTATTGTGTGATTGTGCTCATGTTTGTCTGCGCCATTGCACCGTAGGTATATGTGTAGCCCAGCAATTTTGCATGTACGTGTCCGAGGCTGTACCTGTTATAATATCGTATCGCGCGAACGCCTGCTCTCGTGGTTCTCAATTCCCCGCGTCCCCCCCCAGGACGCTGCATCAGCTATCTCGAACATCACCGAGTTAGGCGAGCCGGAGGAAGTCAGGAGGTGGATCCCGCTCCTGTTGGGCCTTTTGGAGGACTGCAATATCCAATCCGTCGTCGGGGTATCCAAGATTCTTGACCATATCCTCCAGGTGCGACTTATCTGAAGGCGTCCACAGAGTGACTACACATGTCGATGCATGTTTGTGCCAAGAACATTTCTACTGAGATGAGCGTAGAGACTCGTGCACGCCTCGTGTGTTTTGTTTTGGTTGGTATGGCTACGTGCCTTCACTCGGCAAGCTGTTCATGGGCTTTGGCTGACACCTCCTTGAATGTTCCTCGTCCGCAGGTGGATCCTGACTCCGATGCATGGCGGCGGCTGCTTGATCTGCTCAGCTCCTCGGATGCTGAAGTTCGCGAGAAGACTTGCCGAGTCATCCACAAGATCACGGAGGGCAACAAGGAGCAGACTCGGGCCATTATCGATGCCGGCGTCGTACCTGTCCTCATCCAGCTCCTTCCCAATGTGAAATACTACATTCGATGGGTGCGTGATGTGTTCACTGTAGTTATTTTCTCGATGGAGACGGGGTGTCTCACCCTGATCGCAAATGTTCTCAACAGTTTTGTCGTCGAATGTTGTCGTGCTTCAGATACCTCCGGTCTTTGTGTATTTTGTGTGAGTGTGCCCTGACTTTCCTACACCGTTGCATCGCAGGGATAAGAGTTTAGGCCAGCGATTTGATGGCTTCCACTGTTTTCAATCAATCAATACGAGAACGGGTTTTGCTGTTGTCGTGTAAGGTGCTACCCTTGGTGGTCGACCCCCCACAGGACGCTGCGTCAGTTATCTTGAGTGCCACCGAGGAAGGCAAGCCGGAGGAAGTCAGGGGATGGATCCCGCCCCTGGTGAGCCTCTTGGAGAACGACAACATGACTTTCATCCTGAACGTGCTCGAGATCCTTGAGAAAGTCCTCGAGGTGCGTGGTCAGCAAAAGTGTATTTGTTCCGCCTCGGATTACCGGACGCCTTTGTTCTACAAGTGGACACATTTTCGTCAGCGCTAAGGCGCTTAGAGACCCTCGATCGAAAACGCCAAAGCGGTCATTCTTTTTCCTTCCTTGTGTTTAGTTGCGGTTATTTGTCCCTTTGACCCCTCGTTTTTTGCTACCAATGCTCATCGGGTGTGTGTAACAGCGCGGCGACACGGAGGCAAAGGCGCAAGGGCAGGAGACAAATCAGACGGCCACGTGCGTGGTGGAATGCGGGGGATGGGAGCGCGTTGCTGAATGCTTCCACTTGAACTTCAACTTGTTTGACGACCATGCCAGGGGTAAAGTCAGAGCAAAGGTTCGAAGAAGATTGGCGAGAGTATTTCTGCAACCTAATCTCACCGGGTTCTCACCACGGGCGGCAATCTGGATCAGTTGCGTTGAATGGCCAACAGTTCAGGGGGTTTGGTCTGTGACGGCGCGAGTAGTGTGGACCCAGATTGGCTGAAGTTTGGTCGGCTTCTTCAGTCTTCAACAGCGCGGTCCCAGGAACAGCTTTGGGCATGCCGATGCGTGTGTCGCTGCTCCAAAATGCCCTCTACTGATACACCGTAGATGTTTATGTCAGAACCCCCACAATGAAAAGATCCTGCCTGAGCACCCGCCGTGTTGCGTATGTTGTCTCGAATTTTGACTGGTGGAATTATTCCTCTTGGCTTGAGACCAGAACATGTGGGAAGAGGTGTTAGATTCCATGATGCGCTGGGGGAGACAAGCCCCAACCGCTGCTCTGTGTAAAAACGAACGGAGTTTTGCTGCGCAACATTTCCCGTCTGGTCTGATATGTCAACTGTGTGGTTGCTGGGTGCTCCCTTATCAAGAATTGGCAAGAACCCCACCGTCGGGATAGAATTGCTCTCTGATCTTGGAACACCCTCGCAAGGTCTTTCGAGTTCATGTGCTTACCATGCCTTCTGTCGACACAATTAATTGGAAGTCGCACCGCTTGCGTGTTCATCTTCACAGGCGCGGGAGTTGCTGGAGCGATTTCATCATCTCGAAGACGAATCGGCACAAGAACGCGCAGCGGAGATTTCCCCTGTTGAGTCGGAAAAAGGCGAAGTCTCGTAGTCCACGAGAATGCTTGCATGCTGCCGTATGTGTGCAACTGTACCACCGATGATTTCTCTATCATCTAGCGCGGTAAAGTATTATTTGAGACGATCTGCTGTGCATAATGTATGACAATCTGATGCGATTCAAAAAGGTAAAAGTATATACCTGTTGGGAATTTGATGTTAAACCGTTTGAGGAGAGAATCCTAGTGGACCTGCCGAGTGGAACTCGTCTTGCAGCACACGTAGAAGCATCCGTATTGATGTCGTTGTTCCTATCCCGCGGTAACATGCTTGCAACGTGTTCTTGCTCGACGTTATGAAGCGTTTTGTCGAAGCACCGGAAGAGGTGCTGCAACGTACGAAGGTGTTGTCGTGCAGTGCGACAGATATGCTCCACACGGGCCCCTGATACCAACCGCACTTCACCTCTCGTCAGTACCAGACAACTTTGGCGTCAGCTTGTTGTCATAGTCGTCGTCGTTGTTGTTGTTGTTGTTGTTGTTGTTGTGGTCGTCGTCGTCGTCGTCGTCATTGTTGACATTGCTGTTGCTGGGTTTTTGCTGATGTTGCTGTTGTTTGGTTGTGTCGTGTGTGACATGTACATTGACAACGGTTGTCACATGCCTCTGCGTGTCCAGTACATTCTACATTGATCCCTCTTGGGAGAGGGCCGATTTTCCGCGGCCGCAGACTACATTTCTATTTCAAGACCCTGACAACGTCCCCATTATACTCGCGAACTGCCGTACCTAAACAGTGTGCACAACAAATAATAGGTGGCCTTGCAGAAGCAAATCATTTTTGACGATCAAGTTGCACCTCACGACCTAAACAATTTCGTTGCGAGGCAGGTGGTGCGTGCGCGCTGGGTTCCCAGGGCCGCACTGTCCAGCGATGAAAACCCCACCACAACGCCTCCCGAGGCTTTCCACTATTCCTGCATCGAAGAAAATGGAGGAAGAGATTCGGACCAAAGCACGAGCACACGGGCACCGATTAACTTAGCGTGCTCAGGCAAGGCATGCCAAAACTTCGATGGAGAAGACACCACATGGGACGATATAGCATGGGAAGTTCTCGAACGGGTGTTTGGAGGTGAATGAAGGTTGCTACTCTGATTCATTCTGAGAGTAAGTTTAAGCAGGCTAGCACGATACCCGATCTGAGACCCCTGTTGTCTTGTTCTCCTCGCGCAGCGGAACAGACAAACTGTCATGGACGCAAACAGGTGGCATAAGCAAGAGCATCATCGATGCAAATACCCCATGGGGGGGGGCTTGAACTTGCCTCGTCACCTCTTCCTCCAAAAACCACTGCGCCTTCCTCAACCGGGCACGCTGTGCGCCATCCACGTCCCCCAGCATCACCAGCACCTCTCGTACGGATGTGCTCTCAGCCCTGTTCTCTCTCCCTCCCTTTCCCTCCCCACCCTCTTTGTCTGCCTCCTTTTGTTGGAAGTCTTCCTCGTTACGGATTGGCCCCTCAATGCACCGTCCTACTCCCGTTCCAGTTTCATTGGCAACGGCCACGGCTGGAGTTTGGATGTCACAAACTGGCTGGTACCTCTGCCACACTACCTTTGTTCCCCGGTGTGCTGTTCTTATCATTGATGTCGTTGTCGTTGTCGTTGTTGGGGATGATAGTGTTGTTGATGTTGCTGCTGTCGTTGTTGTCGTCGTCGCCTTCGTAGATATCCGCAGGCGGCGCCACAGCTTTGGACGTTGGGTTCACAGTCTGATCGGGTGTCGTTTTCGTCGAACCCCTTCCGGTTTCGGAGAGCCGAAGAAGAGTACACAGAGAGTAGGCAACATGATCAGCATTTTTCGGGATGATTCTCATGACCGGTAGAGCACACCAGTTGTGCGGCGGGCTCGTTGGCATATGCTGGCTTGAAACATCGATCTCGGCTTCACAATATTTCCTGCAACTACTAGGGCTACCTTCGTCGTTCTAGAGAAAGGTGTCGGTCGTTCAGTGTGACTGGCTGAGTCATGAACAGGTGGCGGCGATTGTTGTATGACAAACACAATTTATTCGTTCTTCACCCCCTTTTTGGTGCCGCCGACCGCTTCGAAATCCAAAACGAACTCAGGAACAAATACTTTTACTCTCCTGAGACGATGTTCCACTGTATACAATACACTTGATTGTGTTGAGAACTACTGTACAATAGCTGACCAGCTGTTGCTCGCTCACCTTCCTGCTGCAGGAGGCATGTTTGTTAAGACCAGGACCCACAGCGGATCATGTTCATCAGTTGCCATCCGACTATTATTGTAGTCTATACGAAAGACATGCACAAACTCTCACAACCACACCACAAACCGTCGTCGTTTGAATTTTGTTCAAGGGCAGCGATCTTGTGCGCTCGCTCGTCTTTTGGCGATAGACGAGAACTTGCAAGAACAATATCACGACGCTTGACATCACGATGAATGTCCTTCTTCTCTCGATGCTCGTTGTGCCGTGCGAGCACAAGCTCGTCAATGACCGGTCAAGAAACGTGCAGCGCCCCCAACGATTATGTACCACCGTCGGTTGCGCAGAGAATTCTCGAAAGCCCCGCTCGTCTTCGACTGCGAGATCGGCTAGAGAACAACCTACATAAACCTTTTCCCAAAAAATCTCCGAGAACTGCCCGAGCACGGTCGCATCGTGAGCAGCGTGTGGGTTAAGAAGAAAAATTCCTTTCATACGGCACAGTTCTTCCACACCCTAGATCAGGTTGCTGTCGCAACGCCTTCGTCTGCATGTCTGTGTATGGTATGTATGCAGTTTGGTGTATCACCACGTCCTAACCCTAACCCTAACCCTCTGTCGTCCTTTCAACGATTTTGGCGATCTACCCAGTGTGCCGCAAAGTGAAATACACCGCTGTGTTTGTTCAACTAGTAGCATGGTGCACCATCAGCTCACATTGGTTGGCAGTTCGTGTTGCTGTCGCCTCTAGACTATTGTACTAAACGCAACCAGCAACAGCTACATTTCGTTCTCCATTTTGTCTTGCCTGAGGAACACGGCACCGGAACAAAATCCCGTCATGTTCAGATCGTCGTCTGCTCCACGCATACATAACTGCTATGGCTATTGTACCGCAACTAAAGCAGTCTTACCTGTTATCGAGCCTTGTGTTTGTGCTGGGTCATGGTGGTCACGATGTAGGCCGCGTTGTTCCGAGAGTGCATTGGGGTTTTGGTGTATCCAGTGTTGCTATCCACTTTTGCGTAATTCCGCCGCATGTGTGCATACAGCGCAGTAGCGCAGTACGTCTTGTCGGTGTATCCACTTTTGCACGCTGATTCCGCCGCACTTTCGGCACACCTCGCCCCCCCGCCCGCCCCCACTCCCTTCCCTCCTCGTCTCGCTATCGCCTCTCGTACCATGGGCAAGCAACCAACAGCCTTTCGAATAACGGGTACGATGAGTGGGGTCACCCATCTTGACGTGGAGTCCTTCTTCGACAAGATCAACAAACATGTCGGACTGAAGTATGCTTTTGCTGGGATCGGGCTCGGAAGCAACGCTTTCTTGGTGAACCTCAAGAACAAGGCTACCCTGACATTCGTGGAGAAGGCCCTAGAACGAGCCCTTGGCTCTCAATACAGCGCGGAGGCCGTCGCAACGAGCACCGGACAGAAGTTCGTCCCCGGAGAACGCCAAAACGAAGGACGGTGTAAGACGACCATAGAGCTCGAGGCAGCAGCTGCATCAGCGGCGGCATCGCATATCGGAGATTCGCCCGCAAGAATATTTGTTCTCGTCGGTGTGTCGCAGAGAGCAACGTACTCGTACAACACCCAGGCAGGTCTTGTCAAGGTGGGGAAGAATGAAGAACGCACGGCTTGTCCCCTTGAAAATGGGAACCCCGTGCCAGCAGGCGAACAAGCCGGTGTCGCCTCTGGCCTCGTCGCGCCCCATCATCAGGTGCGCACGGGACATGCAAGAATTGCTTCACTGCTGTGTACATAGCCTCGGTCGACTTCCGCCCTCGTCTCCAACCCTTCCGTATTTGCTGTACTGCTGTGGATGAAGGATGTGAAACAACAGACTGCAGCGCGAATGCTACAAAATGAACAGCGCGAATGCTACAAAAAGAAAATAAGACAAGGAGCAGTTTACTTAGAACAGTTTATTGTTGTTGGTTGTTTTCAAAAACTGATTGACACGCACAGAGAGTACCATTGCACGTGTTGTCGCGCCATGATTTAGCGTATCCATACACCGACCCGTATGCATTTAAAGGAGATCTATTTTCGGTTGTTCGTTCCCAAGTGTAACAAAACCCCACAGTACACGGAGATAGATTTTCGGGTGTCCGGGAGGTGAGGTTAGGTAGTTGTGCACCAGACGAACGGCCCCTACGATGCTATTGCTGTTGGCCCGCCTTTTCAAGGCCCGCCCCCCTCCCTCTCTCCGTCCTTCCTCTCCGGGGCTCCACTCCTTCCCGAGGTGCACGTGTATGTAGCTCATGATCGACTCCGGTCGAATTACTAAACAACAGCTAACCTCCTTTTTCGGTACACATGTTGAGTTTGAAAAATAATTGTTTTCATCACGCGACAGAAAACAGACTATCCTTAAGACAGCTAGTTCTCAATGGGGTTTGTCTTATTGAAGCCGGCAGCGAGGATTGAATGACACCTGCTGTATTATGTCTGTTTCGTTGTTCCCGCCTGCCGCCGGCCCTTGCCCTAGAAGGTGATTCCATTGTCGGAAAAGCTCCCGGTCGACTTCAGGAGTGACGTGCACGGGCGCACCCTGAACGGCCAAGTGGGGGGGCGCGGGGGAGGAGGAGGAGGAGGAGGAGGAGGAGGAGGAGGAGAGGGCAACAACGGCGGTTGCAAGCCTATCGGCTACCGGCCCGACGAAAGCCTCCCCCCTCAATCCTTTCCCGGCGGCACGGGGGGGGGGGGGGAGGAGAACGGCATGAGCACTCATCGAGCCTCGGCCAATCGAGACTGTCGGTGGCTGCGTCGATGAGGACGGTGGCCACCAGCCTGCGTGGGCCAGCGTCGGGGGGTCAGGAGGTTGGCATGATGAGTGTAGAGAACGGTGGCTGGGATGGAGAGCTTCTGTCATGTATTGACTGGCGCGTTGGGTTTGGGAACCTGCCCGACGGAAGCAATGGCGATGGCGACGAGGGGAAGGACGGGGGGGGAAAGGCAAGACGGTCTTGTTATTTGCATCGGGATTAGCTGTATGTAATTGTTTCGGCTCGTGCACCACAGCCCTGGGCGCTGAGGGTGCCGCCAACCATCGCAACTCGTAGGAGTTTCAGATTTCTCGGAATATCCTTGTTACCAACACACAACAGCGAGTGCCCGCCGACGAGGAGATCTGCACAACTCCCCCGAACCCTTAATTGTTGTACTACGTTTTGTCGTAGACCTATCCATGGCCCCTGCATATTTTAGCAAACAAGCTTTTTTGCGTGTTTCTTGGAGTAAAATCGTTACGTTATGGAAACATTCAATATGGCACAACAAATGAACTGCATCAGATGTGAACGTCACCTCAGATTGCCTCGTAGATTGTGACGGAGATCTACCTGCAGGGTGTTGCCACAGGTACTGTAGAGTCAGTGGACTCGATGAACCCGTTTACAATTACAGCGCGCCAGCTGCCCCCGTCTCTCACAACCCGTTACAGTACATGCGTTCTTCCTATCTCACGCGTGGTTGAACCTGGTGTGTCCTCCACACAACACGTCCCGATGAAAGTTGAGCCACAGCGCGAGCCTGGAAACACCCATCTCATACGCTAGAAAAAACGTATATATGGAGGAACGTACGGAAATTTATCGCTCGCCTATTCGCTCCCGAAGCCTTTAGAGAACGTGAATTTTGAGACCATCCCGCCCATCCCACACTCAGCACTCGGTGCTGCGATCGTTTGCGGGATATTCCTCCCCGGTGCTGCGAGAGTGCCCGGCACCGGCGAGGGAGTATCCATAGGCGAGGACCTCCGCCCGCGGTTGGAGACCTCACGGAATCCAATACTTGACGTCAAACGCTCTAACTTTGTATGCATGCCTCTCTCCCACGTCCCAAGGTGGTACCTCATCACTCACCGCCTGTCATGCTTTTGCTCACAACCCTCTCGTCTCCGCCTGTCTTCAAGGGACGAACCGCGGACGTGGTGGGCGCAGCAGCACCGGCACCCGCAACCACCCGCCCGGTAAGCAATGCGGTGCATTGTGTTGTTTGGAAATGAACTGCTTCAAACTATAGCAGCAGTGTGTGAAAGGCAGGGCCGGCATCTCGGGATCGGGGGTTGACGGGATACGTGTAGAGGAGAGAGGCTACGACGGTGGAGGTCATGGGAATCTGCTCGACGGCAGCAAGGGTGTTGGCAAAGAGGAGAAAGCGGGGAGCCAGGCAAGGCAACCTGTGTTATTTGAAACCCAAGAAACTGGAGGCAGGGCAGTATGTTCGTTGTTTCGGCTCGCGTACCACAGCCCCGGACACTGAGGGTGCTGCCATGCCCTCGTAATTTCGAGGAGTTTTTCATGTTTTCCGGAGAACAAGGAGGTAAATCGGTCCTGAACGAACGCTCCTTAACTCCTCCGCTAGGCGGAAGGTCTGCAATATATATCGGGATGAGTCATGTGGCCTTCATTTGTGGATTGTGGCGCAGCAGGCAGATATGCCCTGTCCCTCTTCAGTTTTTCCCTCATTCAAACTCTGGGCACCCTCACGACATACAGCGGTTCAACCTCGTGCAGGAGCGACCCGAGAAACACCAGGAACGCCGTCGGCGGATCCTTTCGAGCCCGCTGCCGAGCGGCCTGTCCTCGATAGGCTCCCACACCACCTTTCATGAGTACTACAAGCGCGGCGGCAGCACTTCATCTTTTGTAAGCCGTCTCCGTATCGATGTCCTCCTCGTCGTTGTCGTCGTCGTCCGTTTTGTTTCGTCCAACAAGTATAAGCTTTGCTGCCGTAGTCTATCACAAGTTGTTTCGCTTTTTATATTTTTTCAAGGAATACGTTCGTTGTTGTTTTCGAGCTCGCGTCGATTGTGTATGCATCGCACCAGCTTTGCGTATGTGCAGCGCACCTTCTCTTCCGCCATCGTATGTTGTGTTGCCTAACGACGTCACTACGAGTGCCGTTGAAATTTACAAACTTACAAAGTCTCCCTTCGGGACGTGGGTGTCAAGCCTCCCGCGGGCGACGCAAGACCGCATGCGCATTGTCCGAAATAGGCGTGTATTTTTTTGGGTGGGCAGATACATAACGCTCACATGCCGGCAGGTATTATCCACTGGAGCCAGCTCGAGCGGACAGCAACTTGCCAGGGAAAAATCAAACTTCTACGACTGATTTTTTTATGGCAGATTTCCAATGAGAGCAGAATTGAATCCGACAACATCACAGTAAACACAAACTGATCAACACTGTGGGTGCATGCGCTCAGACTAATGTCTACAGCAGCGAGCGGCGTTTCGCTGGGCCCGCTGCGAAGTGTAGAACAGCAAAGATAGGTAGGCGCTGTTGGACATTGCGTGCGATAACACGAAGAGTCACAGCGAGGTGGAATCAACGAATAAGGGATGATGGAGATGGACATCAGGCAAAAGGAACATGTTTCAAATATACATTTTTTCTCGCTACACAAGGCTGCAAACCGGACAACTGATATTCAGCCCGAAATGCCACAACCCGAGGTGATGGCGTCAGCTTTGAAGAAGTAACATGAGTAGGGATTCATGGTGGGGGCATATGATCAGGTTTATCCGGCTACATGTCGTTGGCAGCGAGAAACCTGTTCGAAAAGTGCGTGCGGGCGTGAGGGCCATTTCCTTTATCTGTCGTTTTTGATGGGTTTCAGAAGAATTGGTTCGCCAGGCTTTGTCTGCGCGGAACGCGTCCCCGGGTTTCAGAACCAGTTTTTGCGACTTCGACCGTCAACCACACGCCCCACGGAGGCCTGCCGAGCTCCGCGCATGAGCGTTAATATGCTGACGAGCCTCCTGCGTGCCCTTGAGAAGGAAGCACGAGGAAGGAAGCACGAGGAAAGACTCACTGCCGCGAGAGAAAGAAATGCCGAAGCACAAAAATGACCAAATCTTACATGTACATATGTCACGCAGGGGCAGGAGTCGGAGCACCAACTCAAGGTCACGGTGCACGAAGCCTTAGAGCTGGAAAGGTGGGATTTTCTGTATGACACCACAAGCACACCTTTGCAATCGGTGCCAGTTTTGGCTCCGATCATGAACAGGAACTGGGAAGAGGCGAGGGCGAAGAGAGATGGAAAAGAGGCCCACCAGATTCAGGTACGTGAAAGGACGATGAACTGTTGCCTTTGGATTGCACCTTTGTGGAATTCCTCTTGCTTTGGTAAATGAAGCGACTTTTGTTTTGGTGCTTAAGGGTTCGCTTATGCGTTCGACCGAGGTAGCAATTACTTTGGAGATGTTTGAACAATATTAATATTTGTAGCACGCGAACGTCTTGAACGTTGTTGTGGGCAGGAATGAGGCTACCATGGCCAATGTCAAATACAGGTCCAAGCAGCGGAGGTGCACTTGTTCGCGCATGGAACTTTGCCCACGGCATGGCGGACAACAACACAGACCTTTCCTCTTTTGTAAGCCGGTTAATATGTTTTCCTGTACAAATGCTCGTCGCCCAGCATGGTTGTTTGTGTATTTTCTGCCAGAAAACTGCTGCCGGCGGGGAGTTTTCGGCGCTGAAATCGTTTGTGGACCAGGGAAGCCAGAACGTCATGGAAACAGAGCGCCTGAGTCCGCAAGTCCAATTCGACACGATCACCGCCGTTCGGCAAACGCTTTCGACAGGTGTGTTACACGCTTACGAATGTGCGAGGGCGTTGCTGTGCATGGAGGCTTCGTTTCGTGCTCACCTTGATCGTGACACCTTTGCGGGACTGTCAACCCTGGCACCAGCAGCAACACTGGTAGCCAATATAGGATCTTAGGGCGTATCTGACAGTAGCAACCTTCCCTCACCAATGTTCTTCCACGATCTACAGGGCACGATCCCTCTTTCCATGTGCCAAAGCTCGTCGAGTTTGTCGAGAACGAAGGCGACCCCGCTCTGCAGCTTGAGTCGGTCAGGTTGTTGGCGACGATCTCTGGCAGTCACACGCATGCGGTTGTCATACATGGCGCCGTTCCGATCTTCGTACGTCTTCTCACGAACCCCAATGACGACGTCCGAGAAGAGGTGGTGAGTCTTGTTGTTGTTGTTGTTGTTGTTGTTGTTGTTGCTTTCTTTTGGACTAGTGGCCGCACCAGTGATTTGGCCCAGTGTGAATGCTGTCATGCATTTTGACGTGTCCTCTTTCACTCTCTGGTTGTCGTTGTGTTGGAGAAGTTGCTCGTATTTTTTCTGAACCGTGGATGTTCCTTTTTCGACACGTAGCCTGCCGATATGCCCCCCTCGCAGCGATAGTCTTGCCGGATATTGTTGGCATGGAGACTTCCTGCTGGACAATGTGCGCGCGTAAACTATTACCGCAATTGTAGTTGAGTAAGAATCTGAATCTATCACTGCAAATATGCGTTCATGGGAAACATACCCCAAAATTTCTCCGTTGAGTGTTGGGTAATGTATTCTCCTCGTTGGCGCGTGCCATCAATTGGTGATTGAACTCCAAAATATTATAGGTGAAGAGGACAAGGCAAGCCCTTTTGGTTCCCCTAGGGCTTCCTCCCCATCTGCTTCCGACAACATTTTCATCTACCTTCACGTGCCTGCGTGCTGCGAACAGGTGCGCGCAGTAGGACACATCGCGGGATACTCCTCCTTGTCCGGCGACATGGTTCTCCAGCGAGGCGCATTGGGTACCCTACTCCAGCACCTACTCCAGCAGCTGACGGACCGATCTTCGCTGTCGATGCAACGGGTAGCCACGTGGGCACTGTCAAAATTCTACGTCGGGAATTCGTTGCCCAGGTTGGAGCAAGTCAGTCCAGCGTTGCCCACCCTGACGTGGCTGATACACTCCGTCGACGAAGAGGTGCGGTACCACCAACTCTCAGTACATAGAAATTATTTTGTTTTGCCGCCTACACTGTCGGTGAAATACTGCTGTGGCTGTTCGTTTTCAGTTGAACCTGACGTCTCCATCACACTCGTGAACGTGTTCTGTGTTTTTCTGAGCTGTCTTATGACCGGAGGGTTGCACCTTCTTACTGAGCCCTTGCGCTCCGAAAATGAGGGGGAAATGGTATGTCGCTGATCGGAATGTGGTAAGCCCGATGCATGTTTCCTCTCCTGACTACTGTCTTCCTTGCGCCGACTGTGGTGGTACTCCTAGGTGCTGACAAACTCGTGCGCGGCTCTAGGCTGCCTTTGCACCCCGCGGTTGGGAACATCTTTATATCCAAGGGTAAATAGAGAAATGGTCCAGGCGGTGGCCGGAGCCGAAGTCTGCCAGCGCCTAGTGGAGTTGCTGGATCACACCTCTCCTGCCGTGCAGATGCAAGCTTTGTTCGCCATCAATGGAATCGTTTCGAGCGAGGACCAGCATACGCGGGTGATGAACAGGGCTTTTGAAAGAACTGCAGGATAGGGTGGGAGGGAAATTCTGAGCTTGAGGAAAACATCAAGGATGGAGAGGTTGTTGCACAAGCGGCGTGTTTGTCGTGCCCATATGTATATGTGTGTATTGCACCAAACGGACGGGTTGACCCGATTGTTCATGTATCGCGTGCCTACGTTCGTTCATAACAAACTCTCCTCGTCACCGCCGGCCTTGGTCTTTATGAACTTGCCACATCTACAGGAGTTAGTCCTTTCCAACGGGTGGCCCGGGCTTCATCGCATGCTCAGATCGTCTCATCAGAAGATTCGCAAGAAGACTTTTCAAGTCATTTGCAGGATCACGATCGGCAATAAGGAGCAGGTCTAGTCAGTGATCGAAGCCGGTATCATCCCCACCCTCATCCAGCTCCTCGCCGACGTGAATTCCGACATTCGATGGGTGCGTGATTTGTTCGCAGCACATTGACCTTTTTTTTCGTGTGTTTTTGCGTGATGTGTTCGTTTTACTGCCCTCCGTCATCTGGTTTTCTTTCTACGAAGGCGGACCATCTCCTTCTTTCATCACGATTTTCGATCCCTTGAGAGTTCTTTACGTCGTCGAACGTCGTCGTGCTTCAGATTCCGACCCCTCTACTTTCTGTTGTGTGTTCATGCCCTGATTTGTTTGAGCCGTTGCCCCGGTTGTAGAGTCTAGGCCAGCGATTTTTCATGAACATGTTCGAGGCTTTAACTGTTTTGACTGCGCTCACGTGAACGCGTGTTGCTGTCGATGCATGCGATGCCACTCGGGGTTGCCCCCCCCCCCAAGATCGTTGCATCAGTTATCCGGATCGCCACCGAGGTGGGCGGGCTGGAGGACGTCAGGAAGTGGGTCCCGCTCCTGTTGAATCTCTTGGAGAATGACGGAGCCCAAGTCATTTTCGAGGTACCCGCGATCCTTGAGAAAATGTTCCTCAAGGTGCGACTTATGAATTAGGCGTTCACAGAGTGATTAGACATGTCGATGTATGTTTAGACATGTCGATGTATGTTGTCGTTTGTGCCCAGAACAATTGTTCTGGGTTGTGTGTAGAGGCTCGTAGACGCTTCGTGTGTTTGGTTTGATTGGATGCCTATGGCCCTTCACCCGGCAAGGTGTTGGTGGGCTTTGACTTCTTGAATGTTCCTCATCCGCAGGTGGATCCTGACTCCGATGCATGGCGGCGGCTCCGACATCTGCTCAGCTCGTCGAATACAGAAGTCCGCGAAAATACTTGTCAAGTCATCCGCAGGATCACGTTGGGCAACAAGGAGCAGACTCGGGCCATGATCGAGGCCGGCATCGTACCTGCCCTCATCCAGCTCCTTTCCGATCTGAATCCTGATACTAGGCGGGTGTGTTTGTTTTCAGCGACAGCAACTTGTTTGTATTCGTGCGTGATTTGTTCGCTATACTCCTGTGCGTTAGTAGCTGTATCTCGTTTCGATGGAGGCGGCACGTCTCCTTTTTTCATCACGATTTCGATCTGAACAGCTATTGTTTGTGTCGTCGAACGTCGTCGTGCTTCAGGTTCTGGCCCTTCTTCTCATGTATGATTGTGCCCTGATTTGTTTGCTCCGTTGCGCCGCAGGCATAGAGTGTAGGCCAGCGATTTTGCATGTACGTGGTCGAAGGCTGTACCAGTTTTGAGCTATGACTGTTTTACTTATGTATCGCGCGAATACGTGTTGCTCGTGGTTGTCGAACCCCCCGCCCCCGCAGTATGTTGCGTCAGTCTCGAACGCCACTGAGGTAGGCGAGCCGGAGGAAGTGGGGAGATGGGTGCCGCTTCTGTTGGACCTCTTGCAGAATGATGACACCCAACTCTTGGTGAAGGTGCTCACGATCCTTGAGATAATCCTCCAGGTGCGACTTCAGTGAAGGTGTCCACAGAAGTGACTAGACATGTCGATGCACGTTGTCGTTTGTGCCCAGAACAGTTGTGCTGAGTTGTGCGTAGAGGCTCGTGGACGCTTCGTGTCTCTTGTTTTGAGTGTTTGGCCTTCACCCGGCACGGTGTTCATGGGCTTTGGTTGTCATGTTCTTGGATGTGTCTCATCCGCAGGTGGTTCGTGACTCCGATGCATGGCAGCCGCTTCGCCGTCTGCTCAGCTCGCCGAATACAAAAGTCCGCGATAGGACATGTCAAGTCATCCACAGGATCACGTTAGGCAGCAAGGAGCAGACTCGGGCTATGGTCGAGGCCGGTATCGTACCTGTCCTCATCCAGCTCCTTGCCGATGTGAACTACGACATTCGATCGGTGCGTCATTTGTTCGCAGCACATTGACCACTTGTTGTCTTCGTGCGGGTGATTTGTTGGCCATACTCCTGTGCGTTGACTGGATCTCGTTTCGATGGAGGCGGGGCATTTTTTACTTCTATCACGATTTCGATCTGAACAGCCGTTGTTTGTGTCGTCGAACGTCGTCGTGCTTCAGATTCCAGCCCTCCTCTTGCTGTGTGATTATGCCCGCATTTGTCTGCACCGTTGCACGGCAGGTATATCTAGAGTGTAGCCCAGCGATTTTGCGTGTACGTGTTCGAGGCTGCACCCTTTATATTTATGCAACGCGCGAACGCGCGCTAATCGTGATGGTCGTCCTCCCCCCCCGCCAGCACGCTGCATCAGCTATCTCTAACGCCACCAAGTTAGGCGAGTCGGAGGAAGTCAGGAGAAGGATCCCGCTCCTGTTGAGCCTCTTGGAGCATATATATTTTTACGAAGTCATGGTAGACGTGCTCGAGATCATTGAGGAAATCCTTGAGGTGCGTGGCTGCTAACAAAGTCCCTTGTTGTTTCTGCCGCACTAAGGCGCGTAGCACCGCTGTCGAAAGACCCCAGCGGCCATTTTCTTGTTTTTTTGTAGGTCAGGGTTGCACTACTCTCTGTGTCCCTTTGGTTCCTCGTACCTCAAGTAATCTGCGTTTTTCTGCGAACTGCTCTCTTTGCGCTTGTTGCTTGCATGTCGCAGCGCGGTGACACGGATGCGAAGGCGCAAGGGCAGGAGATGAACCAGATGGCTACGTGCATGGCGGAATGCGGAGGATGGAAGCACCTTGAATGTCTCGAACGTTTCGGTCTATCTGAATCCGTCGACGGATTAGGTTTCTTCGACATCAGCCCAAAGGTTCGGAGAAACTTGACGAGACTCCTGTTTGTGTACGCCATGTACCTGATGTTCAACTTGATATTTTTCTCCCTTAACTTAATATGCTGACCATGCCGTTTGATCGACATATCTTGGAAACCATGCAGTTCGAATGTCCATCTTATGCCGTGCATGTACTTATCTTAACCCCTCATCTGCCCCCGTCAATACCAGCGCAAGGCGCGGGAGTTGCTGAAGCGCTTTAAGCTTTAACAAATCTCGCAGACGAGTACGCACAAGGCGGAGCACAGAATGGTCCCATTGTATGATGTTCTGGCTACTGGTTCATCTGGTGTGGCTCCACGGGATTTTGCTTGTCTATTTGAAGGTCTATGGTGCCCAAGAAATGATTGAATTAACACTCGCTTTTCGTTGCTTGGCAACGAGGACTGTCTTGTTGCTATTTACTTCGTGAAAAGAGAGTGGATCAAAGCGTGGAATTTAGCATGCGTGGAGTGATGGTTTCGTACGTTTGTCGGGATATCTACAATCGCTGTTGGTTGGTTGAGGCTCTGAGGATATCCTCGGCTGTAGTTGCGCAGCAAGAGCTGGGCTCACATGCCTTGTGTTGTTCCCCTTAGTGCGCACCGCCCTGAACGTCCACGCGGTGGCTACTTACTGTGCTACCGGTGTGATCTTGTGCGGTGTGGTATGATTTAAGGCGATGTATTGCAATCTGATGTAGTACCACCGGTGACATCGCTGACGTTTTCTGTGATCTAGTGCAGTGTGGTGTGATTTGAGGCAATGTGGTGTGATGTATTGCAACGGTGTGATACGATATAGGGCACAAAGCTCCCCTTTCGGGAGATAGGTGGCTTGCCTCCCGGGGGCGACGCAAGAGGCCATGGCCAATGTCATCGCGGTCGCATCGTTGCTCGTTACATCTCAAAGTCATGACGTTCGGTAGTACCGGTTTCGCGTACAACCTGCAGAAGAAATTGCCTGAAATTTGCGTCATGTGCAACCAACCTGTGAGAGGTCTTTTTTTTCTCGCGTGATTTTTCGCATGTCTGTGCGTGTTGGCTAGTGGCGTCTTTGCTGCAGGTCCTACTGCTTGCTGTAATCCGCTGCGTTTGATTACTCACTCTTACGTATTCATGTTGCCATGGTCTGTGGGACATGTGTGCGTTGCACAGGCATAATTTTTTTTCTGGGGACGCGAAGCAGTTTAATTTTGTATTTCTGGCGAAGGGTTTTTTCGCGCGGAACACATCCCCGGGGTATAGAGCCAGTTTTTTCAGCTTTGGGCGTCAAGCACACGCGCTACGGCTGGATAGTGGTCCTCGGGCGTGCGCGGTATTGTGCCGACGACCCCCCCGCGTACCCCTGAGAAGGAAGCGTGAGAAACGATTGACTTGCGCCAGCGAAAGATGTCCCGAAGCGCAAAAACAGGCGAAATGATACATATACATATAACCGGATCGGATTTGATATTGAACCGTTTGAAGTGTTGGATCCTTAAGAGACCTACCGGGCGGCACTCATCTTCCAGCAGGGTCATAACGTTGCCGGCAAACGTAGAACCATCGGTAAGGATGTCGATGTTCTAACCTGCTGTTGTGCATTGTCGAAGCGCCTGAACAGGTACTGCTGTAATGTACGAAGGTGTAGTCGTGCAGTGCGACGGGTATGCTCTGTGCAGCCCCCTGATACCAACCACACCTCACTCTCGTGTCAGTACCAGACAACCGTCGAATATTGGCGTCAGCTTGATATTGCTATTGTTGTTTGATGTTGTTGTTGTTGTTGATGATGATGATGGTGGTGGTGGTTGTTTTTGTTGTCGCCATTCATGTTGACTTTGCTGCTGTCGTTGTCGCTATCGTCGTCGCTGCAGTTGTCGTTGTTGTGGTTATCGTCATGGGTGTCGTTGTTGTTGCTGTCGTTGGGTTGTCGTTGTTCATGCTGTTGTTGCTGCTGCCATTCTCGTCGCCGTTGGGTGCTCTATTCGTTGTTGCAGTTGTCGTTATCGTTGTTGCTGCTGCTGTCGTTGCTGCTTTATTATTGTGTCGCGTGTCATATGCACATAACAATGGTTCTGACGTGCCTCTGCCCAGTGCCCCGTACATTGGTATTGATCCATATCAGGAGAAGGTCGATTCTCCTCGAACGCAAACTAATGTTTGTTTGGACACCCTGACCGCGTCCCCATGGTACTCACGAATTACTAAAAACAGTATGCACGACAACAATCTGACAGCCCCGAGGCAGAAGCAAATCATTTTCTAAGGTCAGGTTGCACCTCACGACCTAGCAAATCACGTTGCGAGGTTGGAGGTGCATGCGCGCTGGGTTCCCAGGGCCGCAGTGTCCACCGATGGAAACCCCACCATAGTGCCTCCCGAGGCTTTCCACTACTCCTGGTTCGGAGAACACCGAGGCAGAGGTTCGGACGAAAAACACGATTATGGTACCGATCAATTTGGCGTTTTCAGCCAAGGCATTCCAAAACTTCGACGGAGAAGAAAACACATGGGACGAAGAAGCAGGGTGAGTTCTCGAACCTGTATTGTTGCTCTGGTTCATTTCGAGAGTATGTTCCAGCAGGTTAGCACCATCCCCGATCTGTTTGACCTCTGTTTTATTGTTCTCCTCGCGCAGCGGAACAGGAACACGGTCGTTGACGCAAACAGATGGCGTAAGCAAGGGCATCGTCGACGCAAACACCCTTTGGGAGGGATGTGACTTGCCTCGTGACCTCCTCCTCCAAAAACCACTGCGCCTTCCTCAACCGGGTACGTTGCTCGCCATCCACACACCCCAGCATCACCAGCACCTCTCGTGTGGATGTGCTCTCAGCCCCGTTCTCTCTCCCTCCCTTCCCCTCCACACCCTCTTTGTCTGCCTCCTTTCGCCGGAAGTCTTCCTCGTTACGGATCGGCCCCTCAATGCACCGTCCTACCCCCTTTCCAGGGTCATCGGCAGCGACCATGGCTGGAGTTTGGACGTCGCATTCTGGTACCTTTGTCACACTACCTTTGTTCCCCGACATGTGTTCTTTATTGCTGCTGTCGTTGTCGTTGTCGTTGTTGGGGATGGTACTGTTGCTGATGTTGCTGTTGGCGTTTTTGTCGCCGTCGCCTTCGTAGCTTACGGCAGGCGGCGCCACAGCTTTGGAAGTTGGCTGAACATTCTGATCGGGTGTCGTTTTCGTCGAGCCCTTCCCGGTTTCTCGGGCGCCCGTCAAGAAGAGACACGAGAATGAGTCACATGGTTAGCATGTGTTGTTTTGATGTTCCTCTTTGACCATCGAGTACCTTGAGTTGTATCCGTTGTGATTCCGCCGAATGCGAGGGTGGCGAATGGGGAACGTGGGACGTCTTTGGAGATTCCGTCGATCACGACATTTCGTACTTGCCGCACACTGTCGCTACAGCTATCGCTATACGGAACGTGTTGGGCTAGTTTCTAATTCCGACTGTCTCAGTCATTAACGGGTGGCCGCCACGACTGCCATAAGAAAATAACCGTTGATTCGTCTCTTTGTCCCCTGCTGGGTGCCGGCCTCAGCTCCCACCTACGAAACGAATGCAGGATAACCCCCTGAACGACTTTTGATTTGTGTAATATAGTGTTTTCACCTTCTTGCCGCCAGAAGTTTTATTCTCTAGAGACGGTTGCCTGGGAATTTTCACAGTCCTTCCGCTCGGTTCTGCCAAACCACGAACACCGGTGGGTGCTTGCCAGGCTGCTGCTTTGCCCCCGCCTTTAACGTGATGGCCGTCGCTTCTCTTCTTGGCGGTCCCAGTGTTAGAACAAGTCGCACAGGGGAGAGCAAAAGGATTCCCCGTGCCGAATTCCATGCCGAACAACTCTTTGAGGGGGCTCAGACCGGTCGCGAGAAAGCCCACGTCTGTCGTCATGGCGACGACGTAGTTGCTCCCTCGGACGTCGAACGCCTCAGGTTTTATGAGAGTCAACCGCCATCTGTGTTTTAGCATCAAGTTTCACAGAACATATCAGATTATTTTTAAAGGTGACGTCATGCGATATCTACATTTGTTGTGAGGGACGCCTGAGGATGGGACGTAAGAACTTTCGTACCAAGAATGCGCGAGATCGAGCACCTCAAAATAATAGCGATTCCGAAGGAATTCTCTGCGGCCTCGAGCCAGGGCGAAGGAATGTCTGAATTTTTCTCACAATACTTTTAGTCTAGGTCTCCCCAAGGTTTCAGGAAAGCGTTCGGAAAAACTGCCCTGACTGCTTTTGAAAGAACGACAGTGCCTAGACTACATTACGAGTAGGTACGAATGCGTCGCTTCCCACGCTATGGTATCGTCTTCTCGCAACATTGACTTCGATCAGGACAACACAGAACTTTCCCTACCCCAATTCTAAGGGTTTATCGCGACATGGGCCAACAGCAGCAGAAGGCCTCTAATACAAAGCAGACGAAAGGCACACCAAAGATGGCATGGACGTTATACCTGGTGATGGCGTCGATCACTTCGAGCGAAGCTTCACGGAGCTCCAGAAGGGCGCGTAAAACGGTCTCGACGCACAGCTCGCCGCCGGACATGAACTTGCGACGCTGGTCGGCTAAGAGCGCCACCAAGGCATCTCTCAAGACGATTCTCTGTCGGCCCGGAAAAACATAATGCACAGCAGACCGACGGCACATCCGGTGCTGTAGGAGATCAGGGTTGCATGTTTCTGGCGTACTCGACATCATGAGCCCCACCGTTGGTACTTCAACTACTGCTACTGTAATAGTTTGTGTTCTACGATGACGACTAGTCTACACATGCTGTGCCGTACATACCTTTCAACACATAGCCTATGCATACAACCACGAAGAGCATTGCAACGCCGAAACACCTCCGTCAGATGTGGATACTTGCCTTTCTTGTACCTAGAGCAGGACAGACACAGCTTGCAGGCAGGCGTGCGGCTTTGCCCGGACACCGCACCCTACACTAAATCTCATGTCTCGCGGGTACTCAGCCTCTCGTGGTACAAACATGAGGAGATCTACATCCGACGGTGTAGCCCGACCATGAATGGATCATTGGTCGGAATGGAGGCAACACTGCATACGTCCGTACCATGAGTCTACAGGTCTACTTTAGAATCTGTCTTCCAACTGCCAAAACTGACCCGTAGTATATCCATCTCCTTCACGGCATCGAACCGAACTAGCGAAATCGTCGAGTCCGGCCGGCTGCCTGCCATATCAGGCAGAACCTTGTGGTCATACATCTTTCTAACGCCCTTTTGCCGCGCGAGTGTCAGTGTGTGGATGGATTAAAAGGACGCAAGGGTGGCGGCATGAGAGCATGAGCAGCCAACAGCGGCGAAACAAGTGCCGGTTCGGCGAGGGGAGAACCGTCCCACGTTCCAGCTCACAACTTTTTACGAGACAGCGTGGTAACGTGGTAACGGGTAACCTCGCGTAGCCTCTGATGTAACCGTTTCAGTCTCAGATATGTATGCACCGTTTCAGATTTAGGTATGAATGTGTCAACAGCAGTAGCTCCCAAGGCGATTGCGCGGCTCGTGCGTTCAACCGAAGAGTTCAGTCGAAAGGTGCGTTAAAACGTTAAAACGCATCATCATCCACGCTCCCCAATGGCATCCACGCAACGACGAGAACATAATCCATTTTGTTGCCGCCGAACGTATTCAGCCCTCGTACGTACATGGTTTGTTAGCTAGGGTAGTCCCGCACATCTCAGCAACGTCGTGAACGCCTGGTGACGTGGAATCGAGCAGGGTCTGAGAGTTGTTTCGTCTCGACGGCGTGTCAAGAAGCACTTCCGCCAAACACGAACCGGTGCGTTTGGCACCCTGACAGCGCCGCAGCAGTGCACACGGGCACGTTGCGGACCAATCGCTTCAAACAGCAGATGCTGGACAGTAGACCACTTTTTCTGTCCATTTTCGACAACGAAAAAGAACATGTTCACTCTGTCCATTTTCGACAACGAAAAAAATCAAAACTCTTGCCGTATTCGCCCATCAGCCTCTTTGGGCCAAACCGAAGAATCGGGAACACGGCTGTTGGCGAACAAGAGTACACGGCTTGTTCCTCCGCAGCCCTCGTCCTTATCCTATCATTAAAGCGTCGTGCGGTAGGGCCTGCCCTACCAGTGCACCCCAACGGCGGTGCATTCGGGCAAGATACATTGTAGTAACATCAGCCTTGGGTAGCCTGGAACTGTGTCATCCGCATGAGGTACCGTACGAAGTTCAGCATGCCAACAGACGCCGATATTTTCCGCCCGCCCCGCCTTGCTTCCCAGAAGAGCACATTCACAGCAGTCCTAATTTCCAAAAAAAATAGCGCCTTGCCGATGCCTCCACCTATTCTGACCCTTTTAGCTCGCGACCGAGTCTTGCATGAGAGTCTGCAGAAACAGCGCAGCACGGAGCACAGAGGACAGGACGCGATGGGGAGGTTCGTTTTTCTTTCGAAAAGAGTACATCTTAACGGGGGGGAGAGTCATCCAAAAACAGCATGCAAGAGAAAAGGGTAAGCAAAACTTGTTTCAACAACTCTGAGAGCGTGTTGCAGAACGGCGACAAGGTGGTGGGAATTGGCGGGAAACACCACGAGCTACAAGCAGAGGGGGTGCGTGCAGCAGGGGCGCCTTAATGGAGCAAAAAAGTGAGATGAGCGAGAGGGTCGGCGTAGTGACGTGTATGTACCCACTGACTATGCACAAGTCATTTATCGCCGCGGTAATAGTGACCGCGTTTGTCCACCTGTGTCTATATCGACGTCATACACATGGATTGCTTTGTAGCAGAAATTTAGCGTGGGATTATCGCAGAAAATCTAGCGTGGTATTTTCACACATGGATATGTTTCTGTTGATCGCCTTGGCGATCTATCCTACAGTATATCCTGCACGACGCACCTTCATGGACGCGATCTTGCTCGAAATCGAGAGGTCCATGAACTTGTCCCCGATCTGCACCGTCAAGCCTCCCACCAGCGCCGGGTTGACCTCCGTCTTGAGGACGATGGTCTCGTTCGCGCCGATCTGAAAGATAAAAAAAACACGGACGCAGGAGTGTACGGAAGAATCATGCGGATGTCAAGACACAGCTGTGATACACGATGTGGTACATCGCTCGGGACAAACCCGAGGTCATAAAGCTGCATGTGACACTTGTGGAAGGCTATACACAAAACTGTACGCGTTGTTTTGTCTCAAAAACAAAAGCATCAGTTATAGGCTACTTGGAACCTGATTGTGTCGATACATCTCGCCAAAAAACACCACACCCCTCTTCTACCTTTGCTTCCTTCCATCCCAGAAACCGACCCTGTGGTTTCAAGCCAGACACACAAAACGTTCCGACAAGGGAGACGAAAAAAACAACAACCCACCTGCGCCTTGAGGCCGGCCGCCAGGGCCTTCTCCTGCTGGGGGGTAAGGGGCTCCGCGGTAGTGACGATGGCATCGATCTCCCCCTTCTTTGCCTTCAGCATGCGGGTGTACGCGTCGATCACCTGGGCCAAGTGCGCGCGGAAGAGGGACGGAGAAACTAACGCACTCTGTTGCTTGCCTTTGAGCGGCGATGCCAGACTAGGATAAAAAAACTGCGTGGTACTTTTCATGGGGCGAGGCTCCTTGGGCAGGTCGGTGGTTTCATCGAGTCTTGCTTCTATGTGTAGCGGTGCCGATTTTCGTTGTCCAGTACCGGTTCGGTGCGTTCGTCTCAGCCAAACAAACATAGTTTTGGCGACAATGTCGATATACACCGTGCATTCTAAGAACAACCGCATTGCGGTTTGAACTCAATAACCAAAGCGACTCCTTGCCTCCCACATGAAAGCTGTAGCGGCCGTCTCGAGAACGGAGGCCTACATGCCCGTGACTACAGGCCCGAGAGTTTTGCGCAGACAAGTGACACCTCTACGGCACACACTTCACAATGACCACCGTTGCACTACAATGCTTATATCTCCACCACAAGCACCACTACCGATACCGCTTGCGAAGGCCGCACAACACGGACAAGGCCAAGGCACCTTTTCGGCGTCCGCCAGCCTGGCGTTCCCCGCCATGGCCAGAAGCAGGTTCTTCGTCACGGAGGAGGTCTTGGACTTGGCGTCGAAGGCCTTGTCAACCATCTCCACCTTCGCGCTCCGCGACACCGTGGGGTTGGTCAGGTACGCCTTGAAGTTGGCGTTGTTGCGGATGATCTAAAGAAGCGCGCGCGGGTGGGCGGAGGGGGGACGATCAAGGGAATAAATAAAATAGTACTTATCAGGTGCAAAAAAAACACAACAGTACGGTCGTATACAGCACAGACAGTTCAAAGCAGACGGTTTCCCTTTTTTAATTTTTTCTCACGTGCTGAAAGGCGTCCAGGTCTCTTTGCACGATCTCAAGCTCCCCAGCCTTGGACGCCGCCGAGTAGGTGGCGTTCGCGTAACGGGCGGGGATGCCGTAAAGCTTCAGCGGCGGGTCGTGGCTCGCTGAAGTGTGTGCGGCGTGGGAGGGAATAGAGCAGACACAAAAACGCAAGTCATGAAGAGACAATGGTCAGCACTTCGGCAGCCCGACCTTGAGAGTTCCATCGGAAACAACAAAAAGGACACAATCGATGGTTGATGTATTCTGCCCGCGTGACATCAAAGGCAACAGCACACCTGTTACGCCGAGGTTCCTAGCTCAGTGACGATTCGCCGAATAATAAGGCAATCTGATCTCGTTTGTGGAAAATCGTGTGCATAATGACTAGATATCGTGTGTACCTTGCGGTGTAACCCCAAAGCAACGAAGGACAAAACCGTAGCAGGAGCAGCAGCAGCAGCAGCAGCATCAGCATCAGTGAACGCTGGCGGTGAAACGGCAAAAATAATTCTCTCGTGACCAAAGCACAACCAACACTTCTGCCACGCGAGCGTTTCTGGTGCTGCCGCTTTGGTGGTCGTGTCCCAACTTCGCGGGCCCTGTTGCTAGGCCTCACGATCCTCTCCTTCGCTACAGCCTCTGGATGTCTACAGATCTTGCGGTACAACTGCCGGAGATCGTTCTGCAAAACTGCCCGAGATCTTGCGGCACAACTACCGGAGATCTTTCCGCAAAACTACCGGAGATATTGCGGCGTAACTCACCGGAAGCGGCGGTCGCCTTAGAGGCGGCGGTAGCAAAGGACCGGGTGGCGGTCTTCCCCACACAGCATCTCTCCGCGGCCAACCGAAGAGCCATGCTTTCTGCTTAGACCTGCAAGGATAACAAAAAGAAAACGTGTAAGGAGGCCGCGGTCAAAGGACGGGGGGGGGGGGGTACTCATAATCGTGTGTACCGTAGTCGTTAGACCAATGACCTCGCATCTCTACAAGGTCGGGACGGAGCACGCGATGGAAAAAGCTGTCGTGCGTGCCAAACCACATGCATGATGACGGTCCGTCAGCCACAACAAATCGAATGGTGACATCGTTGTTGTCGACCGCTCCTGAAAGTCTTGGCTCCGTCTACGACGCGAGTCGTGTTGAGGATTGGAGCATGGTTCGAAGAAGCGCGGACAGACTGAGGATCGTCCAATGGCAGCGCACCACAATCAAAAGGATCCTCAGTTGCGCGGTGTGCAGGAAGCACGTGCGTAGGCATGGCTGGTCGCTTGAATGCGGGGGGGGGTTCCGCTACCGCCGCCGAGCCACGAATCCCCCTCCGCGACGCAGGCCGTGCGTCTTCAGACGGATTCAGACTACTGGTCGACAACAGCAATGTTACCGTCAGATTTGTTAGGGCGGACGGGCTGTGAACATGCATGCGGTTTGGCACACACCGCAGCTTTGCCTTCGGGCATATTGCTCAATATCTCTGCGCTACAAGTCGTGCTCCAGGACATGTATTTCGGAGCAAAGGTTAAGATTGCCAAGAAGATAAGTGTGCATACAATACTGCTGTAGAACAGCAGAATATCACCAGTAACGCAAGGGAATGGCCACAGCTTCGACAGAGCGACCACACGGACGTGCCCGGCTACCCGGAGCCCGCATTCGAGGAACGCCACAAAACAACCTTTTCAGCCCCGCGGTGCTGTACACGCCGGCATGCGGTTGACCTCCCGCTCTCCTCGACAACAGCAAAACAACCCGTCCGTGCCTGCTCACAGAGCACATAAATCATACATACCACCTACGTAAATAAGGCTATGCCGGAACACTGGGCACCTTCGTGCATGCATGGAAACCAGGTTGCAGCGCGAACCTCGCGATACCCAACTTCAGGGCCGGCAGCGCGTGCAGGTTAGGCACTGCATCCTCTAGATCATGGCACATTGAGGGTGGAGCCGATCGCTCATGCCCGATTGATTCACAACATAGATGACGTCAATACCCAAGGAGTTATCTTTCAAACACCTTCGAGAGGTAGATAGCGAGACATATGTAACGTGTACAACAGTTTCGGGATGGCATCCGCCCCACTGCTGTGTGGGGTTGCCGAGTGAAAATGCACGTTGAGGGGGGGGGGTGATATCTCGCATCACACCAGGAGCAAAGCCATGGTATCGAACGAAGACACGCCGAAGAGCATTCACGCCGGGCGGAGGAGAGAGCTCTCACGCTACTGCTAGTCTCTACACCGTGCGAGGGAATTGCTGCCATTGCGTGTCTGGGCAATGGACGCTGGTGTTTACAGCAGTTGCCGGGAACAGCAGTGTGGATCGGAACATTGCGCTGGCGCGGCCGGCGATTCTGCGGCCCGACGTTGTGCGGTGGCGGGTTGTGCTTGAGTTCCGTCATCGTGGAGGGAAGGAGAACACAGACGCCTGGCTACGAGGTCGTGATCTTCCGGAGCACTCTACGTACTCTGCTTGCGATTGTATCGCTGCCTGTTGCTTGTGCACCTTTCCAAGCTTCGGAGCCCTCCTGACAAAGGGTTGCCTCGTGTCACCAAGAAGCCCTAAACGAGGCACACGATGACTACTGCTTGTGCACGGACGGTGTATGGTGGTATGGGCACGGGCTTGGACTGCAAACAACCGTGCACAGCAGTGCCTTGCTACATGGCTCGTCAATTTGGTGCCACCTGCCTTGCACCTCTACGTTCTGCACGCTTGCCCGTGGCACTATCAATTCGTGGGATGGCCACAGAGTTTGGCGAAACGATGCGGCCATCGGAGGGCAAACCGAGGAACATCGACGGCGTTAGTTCCTCTGCCTTTATTGCAATAGTTTTCGGAATGAAACGCCCAACGCAAACGCACCTATCCCTGCAAAGTATCTCTCCGCGCCTTCGTTCCTTTCGCCTCCCCCTCTCGATTGCCTTGACTGCTTCTGCGATGGCGCGGTGGCTGACCCGACCCACCACCTGCCCAGCTGCGCTCTGTAGCTGCTGGGTACCCAAGCTCAACCGTTGTTGATTTCGCGGTGCCCCCAGCCCTCGAAACAGGGTGGCACGGGCACAGCAGGCAGGCGCATTCGTGCTCTCACCACCGCCGTCGTTTGTGGAGAGAGAGAGTTGAGATACATAGCTAAGGAGGCGTGCAAGCACAAGATGCAAGGAGGAGGACCACCCCGCCCGCCTGGGGGGCACTACGGAGGGCCGCCCGGGCCGCCCAACGGAAACCAGGGAGGATATGGGCCGCCTCGAGGCATGTGGCCCGGCAGGGGTAAGCGAAGCAAGCACCAGCACAGGGAGAGACAAGTATTACCACGCTGATTTCTTCTGTCCATCCCTCTCTGTTGGTGGCACACGTGGCACTCGCCCCCTTGTGTGGTGTGGTTGATGGTCATGTGTGGTTGCATCCGGTGTTTGGATGGTATCTCGAAGGGTACCCATTCCCATTTGCTGTAGAGGCAAGAAAAAGTGGATGGTTCTCTCCCTGCGCCGTGGGGTCTGTCGCCTGTCGTTTTCACCCGTGGAGGAATCAACGGCAGCAGCATCGTGTAGTCGGTGTACTGCTTTAAGTGGCACGACCAAAGACAGACATACCATGAAACTTGCGCTGGGGGATCAACAGCAAGACTGCAATTGAATTTTTTTCCCCGTGTCCTCTCTCTATTTTGATACTCTCTGCCGTTGAAAGGGGCGCTGTTGTGTATTGGCGAATGTTTTAGGCGCACGACAGGCATGATTGGCATTCGCAGTTTGATTCGGTGCTCTCGTATTCTGTGAAGAAGTAGACTTAGAGCTCACACGTGATTGCCCACGAGCGCGATGCTCGCAGCTGTAGTCCGATTAGTCCCATCGCAAACAGACAGCAATATTTTTCAAATACTCTGTCGTACCAACCTTCGCAGCTGCACTGCCAGCAGCATGTCTCTCAAGAGGGCATACATTGCCGGCAACGCCGACGCCTTCACGCAGGGAAATAAAGGCCTGAACAGGGTTTACGAACGCCCCATGCGATGAAGATCGACCAAACCCCGCCACGCCACCTCGGATTGGATCGCGGGCGATGAACCAATGTGTTCCGCAACTAGCGGCCCAGCTGCCCCCGATGGTTGTACGTACGTGAATACTCGCTATACACCACGAACCCCCCGAACCAACGACATCCCCATTTACCAGTATTAGAATGCCAGGTCTCTGGCGAGTTCGGGATGTCTTTTTTAGCCACGGAGACCTGTTCTCGCACCACAAAGTTTGCTGACGAGGGGGTCACATTGTAGGCAGTCCCCTTGCTGTTGTACGTAGCGCTTCAAGCCAACAATAGCACTCTTACTCTGCGGATCCAATCCAAACGCATCCGCCCGCAACAATAGCACACTCACTCTGCCGATCTGATCCAAACACATCCGCCCGCAGTGTCCGGAAAATGGCAAATCGGTGCGTTGATATGTAGGCGCGTCTCCGACGAACCCACTGACGCCACCTTCCGTCTGCACCGGCAGAACATTCAGAACGGTTTTGCCTGCGCTTGCTGGTGCATGTAGATCTCCATTGGCTTTTCGGAGATCTCTGTTGACTTCGCGGGGAAGAGGAGACACGTCCACAGCAGTCCATACCTGTGTTGGTTGTGTTGCGATAGGTCGATCAAAGCGCACCGTTCTGGTGCCATTTTGACTACAATTTCTTGCGGAAGAATCCCAACCCTGCTGAGGAAAAACACAGATACACTTGTCGTACATACTCCAATGTTCGCATCAATGCAGTCAGACAGGCGGTTTTGTCGTGGTCAGGTAACCCAAACCATAACGCCACCTTTGTTTTCGCACAGGTATGGGTCCCGGCATGCACAGAGGGGGGCCGCGGCATCCAGGAGGGCCGGGGTGGGGCATGGGGCCCGGTAAGTTGTGTTGCACGCAGTTTTGATCACCTGTGTGGGGGGCTTGCCAGCCATGTGGCGTGATCAAACTTCTGAGGGTTGGAATCGATGCGAGTGATGTGTTGCATGGACTGTCGCTGTGTTGCTCTGTGTCGGGTACAGTCTGAAATATACGTTGAAAGCGTAAATTATCAGCCGATCGAAGTTGTTTTATTCTCACGGTGATGTGCAGGTGCTGGTGGTCGTCTGCTGTTGCTGTTGCTGTTGCGGATGCTGGTGCTCACATCGTAGCCCATCTCAAATTCCCAGCCCGCGGTAGTCTGCCAGGCACAGGGCACTTGAGGCCAAAAGTTGCCAAGCACAACGCGGTGTATCCATCACTTTCACAACCCATCGGCTTTACCCTCGAGCTGCTTCCCTCTTCGTCGTTTCCTCAATGCTTTCGATTCGTTTGCCATCACTCCGGCCAAAGCCCTTGCTAATGCCTCAACCCTTTTGTTTCCCCTCACGATCTTCCAAACGTTGCCCCCTTTTGAAGGTATGGGCCCCGGCATGGGGGGGCCCATGGGCGGACGCGGCATGCCGCGTGGGGGCCCCGGTTGGGGAGGGGGACCGGGAATGGGAATGGGGGGCCCCGGCATGGGCATGGGCGGGATGGGAATGAACCAAGGTGGGGGGTTTCGTGCGTGGTATTGTTGGGCGTTTCGGTGTACCTATGCGGGTGCACGACATCGTAGAAGTCGTGCCTGTTGTGTTATTTACGTGTCACGCTCCAGGGAGAGCTTGTATACAGCACCGAGAGCACCATCGTGTCTTTGAGCAGCAGCGGCATGTACAGTAGTGTGCGCCATGCATTTGGTTGTGATATGCATACCCGAACGTGGTGCAGGTGGTAGTTTCCTGACTCGTTGGCCTTGAATAACCCACCAGGGTCTGAGTCAACGCGTACCCTCTCGCCGTACCCCTGTCCCCTTGTCCCTTCCGCTATTGGCGCGAAAAGGCATGGGTGGCCGGGGCCCCAACATGGCAGGGGGTGCTCGCCCTCCACCTCCGCGACTCCCCCCCAACCTTCCAGCCCTCCAGGGCATGGGAAAACATCCCGGAGGCGGCGGGGGCGGGGGCGGCGGCGGCGGCGGTGGGCCTGACAAGATGGGCATGGGGCGCGGTGGTAAGAACGGGCCGAACGGTGCCGGCGGCGGGGGTGCGACAAACGGCGGCGGCGCATCTGCTCCGTCGATGGGAGGCGGAGGAGGAGGGCCCAGCATCAACGTGTATGTTGGCAAGCTCAAGCCCGAGACAGACAACTCGCTGGTGCAGGAGCTGCTCACGTGCTGCGGGAGGGTGGAGAAGTGGAACCGGGCGGTGGACCCGTCCACAGATCTGCCCAAGGCGTTCGGGTTCTGCACGTACCACAACGCGCAGGCGGCGGCCATCTCGGTGCAGGTGTGTTGGTCGTTTTGGTCGGATCCAGTGCAGCATGTTAGCCAACCAACACCGCTGGACGGTGGCACCAAGCGGGATGGTCTGGAATTCCTGCTAAGTTCCCACTGCACAGGGTACTTATTTGCGTTGAGCAATGGTTCTGATCTCGGCGCACCACTGTACCTGCTTTTCAAGGTACTGTATTCGAGAGAACGAATCTCGGTGCCGTCACAAGCTAAGCCCAAAAGAAGGCGCAGCAAGTTCAACCCCTGCTTCCTCTGCTTGCTCTCGAAACTAAACGTCAACTGTACGACAACGAATTCCAGAAACACAAGAGGGTAGGTCTACTTGGTTTTGCGGTTTTTTCGCATCCTTGTCGTTGCCGCTGCAGGGCTCAAGTTGTGCGTAGCTCAAATGTTCCAACCTGAAGAGCTTTGGTTCGTTCTCCCTTGGATGCTGCTCTATGTCTTAACCGTTTCACCCCCCCGGTGTATCGCTCCGTCTCGTGGGCTACATAGCTGCTGAACGACCTGGAGCTGGCCGGACAGCCCATTCTGGTCAAGGTCGGCAAGAAAGAACAGCCTTCTTTGGAGGCATTCCTGAGCCCGAAAGACGAGGAGTACGCCAAGAAGCACCAGGTTCTTCTCGACACCGTCAAAGCCAAGGTGAATACATACGCACACACACGTCACAACCCTGACGGGGCCCCAGATCATGATTGGCCTTTGGACGCGAATTCCGGTTTTTACCCGCGCTGAGACTATTATCGTACTTTCATTGGTCAGCCGGCCGGTGCTAATATTACCTACACACCCACACATTGCCTGCCCTTCAGATCGATTCCGTCCTCGTGAGGTACGGCGAGCGCAGCGCTCCTGGCAAGGGCTCATCCAAGGGCGGAAACGCCAACTCGGACGGGGGGAAATCCCCGGTATCCGTCGGCGCCAGCAGCCCTTCCCGCTCGGGCCGTGGTAGCTCCAAGGGGGGGGGCAAGGGGGACGGCGGAAAGGGTGGCGGTGGGTCTGGGTACCAGCAGGCCGGCGGCGGCGGCGGCGGCGGCGGCGGGCGGAAGTCGAGGAAGGACTGGGTTAGGTACGACGGGGCGGCGATGCTGCTCAGCAGCGCGGGGTGGAGCGAGGACGAGGACGAGGAGAAGGAGGAACTCATCACTAGCGAGATCGAGAAGTTCAGGCAGAAGCAGGTGCGGGGGTAGGGTAGGGTGTGCCGTGCGCGTGAAAATAAAGGATAAGTCATTGGATGGAGTGACTATTGGAAGACCTGTGAAAATCTAACGTTTATCCGGGACTCACACTCATGGAGATGGATCTGTTGCCCTGTGAAACTCTAACGATGATCCTGGACTCATAATCATAGAGGTGTATTCGTTGTTTTTACATTAAGACAAAGAAAAATTCTGATTTTATGCTCGGCGGCACAGGCGGAGAGAGACAAGAAGCTGGAGGACGAGCGGCGGCAGGAGCTGCAGCGCAAGATCAAGGACGCGCAAAGACGGGAGAAGCAAAAGGAAGAGGACAGCAAGAGGAGGGAGCAGGCTTCTCGGGTGAGAGACACATGCATGTATCTACGACATGACAGCAGTGCATGGTGGTGCTTGGTCTGGCTGGTGAATGGTCATGAGAGCGTGTTCGAATCGTCGAGAGATTTGATGACCTGATGGTGGATATTGGTGGGTTTGTGTGTGCCTGCCACGGCGGCGTTTGTTGTCGTCGTGGTTGACACAGTTTTGTTGCCCATACTGCACCAAGTGCCTGCTTTCCGATTAGGAGCATCTCGTTGAGTAGTGGCGGTGCCACGTGTGTCCGTGACAGACCGCCTTGGCTGCCGGTCGTGTTTGAGTTCGGCTGCAATGTTCGACGAGAGCCTTGTTGTTTCAAGCACCCCCTCTCTGAGGAAGGTTTGATTGGCCATTGGTGATCGTCCCTGTGGGAACAATGCTCCGTCCTCTCGAGGACGCGTGGTCAATGGTCTAACCGCTAAGGCATGCAAAATGTAAGAGTACGCCCCCCCCCCCCCCCCAGAGGGTGTTTTCCTCGCTGTTGGGCCCCCCATTGGGCCCCCCATACAGCGAACACAATTCCGTGGTGGTTTCGCACGTGATCAACAAACAGCATTTTCGGATTGCGCTTTCTTGCCGAATATCTGTCCGTTAGGCACGACAAGGCTGGAGGTACGGGCATCAAGTCCTGTGCATTCTACGAACCGTCTAGTCAGATTAGTTTAACAACAGTTCTTCCTCCCAACCTCGGCTCCCTAACACACACACCCGCACCGCTTTAGGACCGGGAGGCGCGGGAGATGGTCGCGATGGCCGCGATGAAGAGCCGCGACGACAAGGATACCGCGGCGGACCAAAAGAAGGGCGGCGACGAAGACGGCAAGAAACCCTCCTCGCCGAACGGCAGGGACAGAGACCGGGACAGGGACAGGGACAGCAGGGGCCACGACCGACGCAGGTCTAGATCCCGCTCTCGCTCCCGATCCCGCTCCCGCTCGAGGGAGCGCAAACGCGGGCGGCGGGAGCGTTCCTCGGACCGGGACGGCGGCAGGAACCGTTCTCCGGACCGGTACCGAGGGGACCGCGACAGCAGGCGCGACGACCACCGCGATAGCGATAGGGGCGGTGGTCGCAGCAGCGGCGGGGACAAGGATAAGGACGGAGGAGGGGGGGGTAGCAGCGACAAGGATAAGGAGATGGAGGCCAAGCGGGCCGCCCGCGCGAAGCTCGCGGAAGAAGAGACGCGCAAGCGTCGCCTGGCGGTCCTGTCCGCGCTAGAGAACGCCGGTAACGACGGGGACGACAGCGACGGCGGCGGCGGCGGCGACGGCGGGGCGGGAGCGGGGGCGGCCGCAGGCGGGGGAGGGGCGGTAGGGAACGGAGGGGCTGCGAGCGCGGTGGACGAGAGGCAGAGAAAGGAGGAGCTCCGGAGGCGCAAGGCCGTTCTCGCTGCCCTCGGGGACGGCATGCTCGATTCCGACGACGACGAGGAGGAAGAAGAGGAAGAGGAGGAGGACGGGGCGAAGCCGGCAGCAGCGGAGGCGTCAACGCTGGCGGCGGCAACGGCGGGCGGGGAAGGCGGTGAGAGATGAAGGGGGTGCCCGTTTCGTGTGGAACGATACCGGCGGCGATGGCGTGTTTTCTTGTTGCGTACACGTCGGATTGAGTTCGTGCTCAGGTGCTGTTTTTGCATTTTTTCCCCCGTGCTTGGACGGGATCGATTGATGGTCCGCCCTGCTGCTATGTACGGTGTCATCGCTCTAAGCGTTGTTGGCGTCAAGAATGACCAGTCCGGCAGCACGACGCCTAACCTTTGTCGTGAAAAAAATACTTTCCCTCACTTGTTTTTCTTTAACGGACAACGAAAGCAGCGTGAACAAGCGGACGCTTTTTGCCTCGCGTTGTTATCGCCAGTCCAAGTCCGTGTGCATGAATACCACGCCGCTGCCCGGCGAACCTGTAGATTTTGGTCATTTCACGAAGATGCAACCTTTCGCAAGCGGTCGGAGGTTTCCCACGAGCGTTCTATTTGTCACCGCCGTACGATGAGGTCTCTTTGCCGTGGTTTGGACAGACCAAGGGGGGCACACAACAGGTAGAGCAGCTCTGAACTGGATAGCACGACATCTGCAGCAAGAAGGCGGCAGCAGCAGCAGCAACAGCAGCAGCAGTAGCTGTGTTGACGTGTTCCAATACTTGGAAGGTGTGCTTTCTTCATGGTTGCTAGGAAATCTCCGAACCCAGCCGCATTCCGGGCTAACCGCTCGTCTTGGCGTGTGTTCATCGCTACCGCTATCTGCCTGCCTCTCTTTCCTGTCGCTGTCGATTCACCATCCTCAGATGCCGGCAAGGAGGGGTCCGAGAGCAAAGTGGCCGCTGTCGTGGAAAAGAAGGGCAAGGCGAGGGATAAAGAGCTGGTCGGAAGCATCCCCAAGGTCGGTCCCGCGCGTGATGCCGAATTTTCCCGCTGCAACGGTTTCACGGCTTTTGAGGTCGGAGTTAGCTTGGGAGCAGGCGTTCCCCGAGTCAGGCCAACTGATCAACCGCATTGACTCATGCGCCAGCGGGTTGGTGTAGACATGTGTCGGTTCCTTTCGCTCCCCTACCGTGTACTACTACAAAATTTTAGCAGAGACCCTACGCCATTGATTTTCATCCTGATGTACGCTGTAGTGATTGACATGGAACGCCTTCGCTTTGTTTTCGCCTTACATCGTCGGCACGGCGACCCTACGTTACAGGACCGCGAGGAGCTTTTCGCGTACGAGATCAACTGGCAGATGGTCGAACAGCACAACATTATCCAGTCCAAGATGCGGCCTTGGATTGTGAAGAAGATCATCGAGTACCTCGGGGAGGAAGAGAAGACTCTCACCGAGTTCGTTCTTACCAAGCTGGGCCAACGGGCCAAGCCACAGGTGGGGTGAATTTCTTTCTTTTTTTTTTCGTCTTGACTTCATATATTTTTTTAAGGTGGGGTGGATAGGCGCATCGTTAGACGATTTACGCGGGATTTGTTTTGGCTGGCCGTATGGGAGGAAGTCAGTCGTAGCGGGACTGTACACGTGAAGAAACCTCTAAGGACGTTGTTTGTGATTTTTTTTCTACCAGGTAGTCCTTAGAGTTTCGTCTTCGTCCCAGAAAACCCAAGCAGTAACAGGAAGCCCATGACAAACCCCTTTGACAGAAGCAAAGTTTCTTACACTGCTACGCGTAGCAAGTACTCTTACCTCGCATCACTCCCTTTGTAAAGGGACGGGACTCACATCCTCTTCATTAACACGATTATCATCATATGAACCCAATATTTCCGAAACGGTTGTTCATACCAGCCTCAATCATGGTCACCCCTACAAAAAAATCTCGACCCTTTTCTGCCTTCCTGAACGGGTTGGGACAGCAGGTCCTCTCAGTGTGTTCTCGTTTCTTGCAGTGGAAGCAAACCGTAAAGGGGCAGGCGGTTTGGGGGTGGCGAATGTCAGCCAGTCCGCGGGCCTGACACTTTCCGCAAAATGGCATCGGCTTATTCGTACCCTGAACCCTGCCGCCACCTCCGCGACCTCCTCTGCCGCGGCCGTGATGGCCCAGAAAGTCCGTATTGGCTCGTCCCTCTACATCCCCCCCTTTGAAAACCTTGAGGGCCTCTGCCGCTACTGTGCGGCCCAAAGAACCGGGGCTGCCCGAACATCGGAGGTTGGTGTTGGGCAAACCCCGGTTCATCCCTGGCTGGCATGGGCGACAATACCATAGGCGCACCCCCCACGCTCCATTGAACGCTGGTGCTGACGCCACCGGGTTGAGACCAGCTTTCCGCAGTGGGGCATGCTTAGGCAGACCGACTACCTTCTTGAGGATCGACAACTCGTCATCCAAACGTTTGTCGTCAACCTTACATCCGTCCTCGCACTAGGATTCTGTCTCGCAGCCTCAGGATCCCCATGACCGGCTGATTGGTGTTGCCTGCCTTCTTGAGGCCACCTTGAAGGTAACTCATTTGCGTCGCGTCCTCACTCATATCGGGTCTGAACTATTCTGTGTCCACACAAGAACTTGTGATGCAGACTTGTGATGCAGAGCATTGGAAGAGGTCTCGGCTAGGCTCTGCGGCTAGCGAAGTTAGACCCGATTTGAGTGAGGACGCGACGCAATTGAGTTACCTTCAAGGTGGCCTTAAGAAGGCAGACAACACCAAGCAGCCGGCCATGGGGATCCTGTGGCTGCGAGAGAGTCTCCAAGCGTAGTGCGAGGACGGAAATAGGGTTGACTACAAACGTATGGATGACGAGTTGTCGATCCTCCAGGAGGTATTCGGTCTGTTTGAGGTGTGACGCGTACAGCACGACACTCCACTGGCTGGTCCCGAACGATTGTACTTTTGTCGGACCGCACGTGACGTGATCAATATTTACGCCCGTCTTTCGTCTACACTGGAATGGTTCGCCGTGTGTCAAATTAAGATTGCTTGGGGCTCAATCTTACCCGTTACGTCTTTCCTGGAATTATACGTCATGTATCAGACGAATCTTCGTCAGTGCTCACCCCCCCTGCGCCGATCGGGCCATGCCGATGACATGTAATCCTCATCTTGTTGTTGTTCGTTTGGATTTTCCATCAGACGATTCTTGACGAGCTCAAGTTGGTGCTGGAGGAAGATGCCGCGGTTTTCATGACCAAGATGTGGCGCATGCTCGTCTTCTGCACGCTGCGAGCAATGGAGAGGGCGCAGTAGAGCTAGCGCCATCTGTACCTGGCCGCAGCAAGCGAAACATGTCGATGTGTTGTGCCTTCGCAAACATTGACAGACAACGTGTTGCAGAGCAAGGGATACACAGCAGGTAGACTTTTTTTTTCTCCGTCGACGGATGGGGTGGAAATGGCGTAGGGAGGCAGCGCGCATAGGTTTGACGTACGTGAGACAAAAGGAGGGGCTAGCGAAATATTATTCCTTCGTTTGCCAGCTGTACCTGTACCTATGTAGGTGTACGGAGGCGTTTGCTGGCAGAGAAGTGACCGCAACGGGGTTAGGTTGGGTGATTATGACGTCGTGTGTGTCTGGAGAAATCGCGCCGCCAGTATGACATGACATGACCGATTCCTCCTCTCGCTCCGATAAATGTAAAGCCTGTTTGTGGTGTTCTTTGGTGGTTTGTGGGGTGTACTGCTTGTAGAAGCTGCCTCGTATTTCCCAGGAGCTTTCGATTTGCCGGTCGTCTATGTAGCAGCAGACACGAGGTGAAGTTTTCTTGGAATATTTATGTCATTGGAAAGTGATGGTAATTTGTTAATGGTGCGCAAATTGCATACGGGAACCTTTGCAATCTTGACTACAGCTGTAGTTGTGTATCGTAGGGGAATCGTTACAATGACAGTCAAATTCATCCGCGACAAACCATCGCTCAACGTGCCGCGTGTGGGGCTATCACGCCATTGATCGGCTACCTTCTGGATATTCCTGCCGTTCATCGGTCTTTGGGGCGCTCAACGCGGGGATGGGTGTGTGTGTGATTCCCGGTGGGTGCAGATGATTCCATCCAATAGTTTCGCCCCCCCAAAATACCACCAGACAGAGAAGAATTCTTCCGCCAGGAAAATATCCCCCGCCTGGAAACGGGAGACAGCCGCACCGTGAACATTGTTATATCTACGGCGGCGGGGAGTAATGACGAGGCACAACGTCTATCAACAGCTTTAATTAATGTTTTCATAGCACGGTTGTACTAGAGATTGTGTGGGGTTTTCCGTCAGGAACTCGTCCCATAGGTTTGCGTTAGATACCACACACCCTGGAAAGACTGTCAACGCCCGAGTACCCAGGACGAAGAGCATGCAACCATGAAATGGGACGATTTCGGAAAGCTCTCGACGAGACAGTTCTAACACCACCATTTACGGCACTTTCACTGTTGTCGGTTTTTGCTGCAGAGTAGCCCGCGGGTATGAAAATCGGTCAAATGAGGGGGGGGGTGGTATATTATGCAACCGGCGGTATATAATTTTTTTACCCAAGTTTGACTTCTAACCAAAACTCAATAACCACTAGATCGCCAGACGTATGCACGTATGCACGCATTCATGACCAAAGGATGATAGTTTGTAAAACACATGACACCCTAATCAACACCCTCTTTCAATGTGCACTGCTACAATAACAAGTCTAAAGAGGATTATCAAGTGCCCTGATCGCGCGCAGATTTCCTCTTTAATTCTCGTGACGACCGGGCGTTCACGAGGCATAGAGGCGTTTGCTGTTCAAGATTCCGATCAACTCATCAACTCGCGCGCGGCGCCCGCGTCATTGTGTCGATAAGAGTCATTTTTTTGTGCGACCCCCGCAGGCCGTCCCCCGCTTGTTTCACATACAAGCAGGGCCCTCAGTGCAACAAGCCTCACAATCCATACGCATCCCCTCTGCGGCGAAGCCTTGCAAGAGCACAGCTATTGGCGGACCTTCTTCTTCTGCTGGCCCACACGTACTTTGATACTACGAGGGAGCACAACGGAGAGCTACATATACGGTTTCCTTATTCCTTACCCCGACAGCGCCAACGCAGCGTCGGACTCTGCACACACGATGAACTCGTCTCTGAGCCAAGGGGTGCTGCCCCGCAGAGCCAAGAGCGGTAGCAGGCGAGCGGTCACCTCATCTTCCTCGAGAACGGCGCAATCCTACGGCGGGCGATCAACAGCGTTCCGCTCATGTCACAGCAGCAGCAGTGGCCGGCGACGAGGGGCCGTTGTTGGCGATGCCTTTGGGACGTGCACGCGGGTGGCCTGCGCAGCCGTGATAGCTCTCGTGCTGCTTGGGGACAACTCATCGGCACGGGTGAGTGGGCTTCGGGGTTGACAGCAGCCTGTCTTGCACTTGCGATAAGCTGCTTGCGACTCATGCAGCAGGAAATCATTTTTGACGGGGAGATTTGAGAGAGGCCGCAACACAGGGACGTACAGACCACACCCTCACATGAGTTTGATAATTTCTATTTTTCAGGATTACTCGAACAATGAGTGGAAATGTGCCGACTTTTTTTCGTTAGGAATGAGACTTGCTTGGTCTAGTGAGCGTCACTAGCGTATGTTCTGCTGGCCGCCTGGCCTTTGGCTGCACCAGGTACCGGGCACGTGTACGCTACGTAGCGCTCAAACACGATGGCACCAATGTACAGCGGCTCTAGTGGCATGTAGCAGTTGATGACTCACCTCCTCTGCCTGCGTGTGTTATTTTACGACTTTGTTCTCGCAACGCACTTGGTTTTCTGCACACTGCTGTAGACAAGATTAGAGGCCGGTTTTGCTGCCAACCCTACCCTCCACAAGGCACGGCGCACAGCGCTGTGTAGCTTACTCCCTTCATCACGGGAGCAGTTGCAACCCATCGTGTTCTGCTCCTGCTGAGTCAATGGTGTTTGTTCTTTTCTACTGTATTTTGCCACGACGGACGTGTATGTGACGGTTCGAGCGATGACGTGTCCAGCCCCCCCCCCCCCCCCCCCCCCCACCCCCGCTGA